AGGGATACCATGGAACCGAGAGGAGTGGCAAACTACCTAGGCTTGCCTCCCAACGCATACTTGCCAATTAATTCTGAGTTCCCCATGAAGATGGAAACAGTAAGCCTTGCCTGCACTGCAAATAACACCTGCATTGAAAAGCCCTGTAGGGTTAAATATCAGTGCTGAGAGACTACAGCAGGGCTGCTGTGTCACCCTTTAAAATTAGATCTTAAGAATAGGGCTTGGAGCGGAGCTCAGCAGAGAACTGGTTCTGACGTTGGAATCCAGACAGTCCCAATACAGAGAGTGGTCAAAAACCACAGCAGGATTTAAGCATAAGTAGTCTGCTGTCTAGGACATGGCTAACAACATGAAGGGGAAACTCCGCCCACCTCAGCCACTCTTCAAAACTACAGAAGCTGAAGAGGTCCAAACAACCCCAACTAAAGGGTACAATAGCATTCTGACACATAATACCTTCCACAAAGGGGCATAGAGAATTACAAGGCTGTGTGAACCCATGCCTCCAGAGATTCCACTGTGGACCTGAGGACAGCCAGGGAAGGGTTCCTTCAGTAAGGCACCGCAAAGGTTTAAAATGGGCCTTCATGAGGCCACACTTCCAGGCTTCTGGTCAGAAGTGACAGAAAGGCAGAGAGGGGGAAAGTCTCCTTAAGGCAGGCCACGCCTCTGCCAGGCCATGCCTCCAAGCTGCTTCACTGGAAGTGATGGGTGTGGCCAGAGACTTATTAAGGCAGGCCCAGGCAGTCTCTGCCAGGCCGCACCTCCAAGCTTCTTCATTCGAAGGGAAGGGAGGGGCCTTCATTCAAACAGCCTCTGCCAGGCCACGCCTCCCAGCCTGTCCCCCCCCCCCTGCACCGAGAGAAGGGAGGGGGGAGGGAAGGGCTTCTAGGTCGAAGTCGAAGGCATAGAAGCCAGAGACCCCTCAGGGAATGACTAGGCAGAAATGCTTCGAAGTCGAGGGGGTTGTGACTTCAAGGCACACTTCCCAAGCCCATGAAAAGAGCCAGTTATTCTGAGGCTCTGTCTATAAAACCCCAGCACGGAGAGGGGGGGGAATACACCTCCATTCAGACTCCTTCTTTCTTTTTTTCACCACACCTCAGCAGAGGGGGAATAGGCCATCATCTGGCTGCTGGGCACACCGGCACCCTCCTCAGAGGGCCGTTTCAGGCAGGCTCTTTGTCCACACACCTCAACAGAGGGGGAATATGTGATGTATTCAATAGCTGCCATTGTAATTTTTTGGTTACTTTTTCCTGGGAGAGATGGTTCACTTCTTCTAATTTGTGAGAGATCCTCTCTGCATCCCTCTGAACCTGAGCCAGCTGACGGCGACTCTCCAGTAGTTCTGTGTGCATGCATTTCATCTGTTCACGTTCTAGCCTCAGCTGCTGACCTAAATCCAGTACTTCTTTGTGCTGACCTGCAATGCACTTTTCCTCTTCTTTCACTGTCTAAGAAGTAAACAGTATGCATTAACAAAGCTAAGAATTTATCAGTATTAGTCTTCTTTTAAATACCCTTTCTATTATCATACAGGATTAGGAACGCTTCTACATGGGAGAGCAAAAATGTGCCTCTAGTGCAACAACAAGTTGTATAGAAGTGGAAAGGAACAGCACCCACATGCTTTCTCCCTGTGCCACTCTCTGCCGTTGCCACCCCCTCCATCACCCTCTGTAACAATAATTTTGTTGAGGCCCCTTTACCCTTTCTTTCCCCTTCTGTCTTGAGCCGCAATGTAAACTTAAGACTATGCCTCAGCTGGGATAAAGGGGCTAGAAGGGGGTGGTGTGTGTGCAAAGCTTAGTCCTGCCATTGTGAAGGTGGAGTTTAGCTTCACCCCTCCTCTTTGTATTGGCTGCAGGCAGAACATCCACATGGACACCACCCACAGCCATTCCAGAGTTCCTACTCCCAGCATGATCAAAGGTTTTTCTTTGATCTGGCTCAAAGAGGGAAGCCCTAAGAGGTCCATGAACATGAAGTTGTATAGAAGCGCCCTTTAACTGCAGAGGCAGGCTGCTCTCAGAGAAAAAACTGTGAATGGAAGCAGCTTAGGTCTGTTATCCATGTACTCTATACTTATTTAGTCATGTTTTAAAATCTTTTACTGCCTTTCTCTGTAATATCAAGACTCTTATTCTTTCTGTGTCAAACAATGAGACTCCTAAAAAGAGAATTGTTGGATGAATTGGGATGAAGAGAAACACTCATCTAAATACTTTTAAGATTTTTCTTCAGACTAGTATTTTTCTGTATTTCCATACAGAAGAAGGAGGAGGAGGAGATTGGATTTATACCCCACCCTTCACTTAGAGTCTCAGAGCGGCTTACAAACCCCTTTCCCTTCCCTTCCCCACAACAGACACCCTGTGAGGTAGGTGGGGCTGAGAGAGCTCTTGACAGAAACTGCTCTTTTTCAAGAACAGCTGTGCCAGAACTATGGCTTGCCCAAGGTCATCCAGCCAGGTGCAAATGGAGGAGTGGGGAATCAAACCCGGTTCTCCCAGATTAGAGTCCACACACTTAACCACTACACCAAACTGGCCATGGACAGTAGAAAAATGTTTATGCAATAAAAGGCTTACTTTCTCAATGCCTGTTATTCTTTGCTGTTTTCTTTCAACGTCTTTTTTAAGTTGAATTATCTCCTGCTCTTGTTGGAGTATGTCAAATTCTTTCTGATGAAGCTCTTCATTTGACTTATGTAGTTTGCTCTCCAAGATCTCAATCTATAAATGGGGGTATGGGGCACAAGGGAAATTAATAAAATATCCATTTTAGAAGCTAAGAAAATCTCTACAGCGTAATTCCTGATGAACATGTATGGCTGGTGATGTGCACATAGGGACTGCATTCAGATTTCACAAACAAAATATGGTTTGTACTAAGAATGTGCCAAGAATGCACTTATGGACTCCCTCCCCTAGTGATGAGACTGAAGACTTCCTGGTTTAGAATAAATGCAATTTGTCATGCTGTCTAAATTGGATGCTCTAGCAAAGTGAGGTATGTTTCTTGTCTACATGATTTAACCCTGGTTTATAGGCAACAAAGAAATGTCAGTTTGTTAAAGTGCCCGGTACAGATGTCATGGCTAGTTGTGGCTTGTTTCACGAAGGAAGACTTCTTACTTTAAAACTAAGGGAGGAGGGAAGGTGAGAAAGGACTTCCTGGTATGTTCTCATTACAAACCATGATTTCTGAATACAGTTGGGTTCTCTACTGCTATTATTAACCCTTCTATTCTTAAAGCAATACAGAGAGCAATCCCTAAGCGATCTACACAGAACTCCTCAGGTCTATTCAATAGGGCTTTATTACCAGGTGCACTGACAGTGACATTGTTAATGGCAGTTCTTCCTTCCATCTTTTGCTCTCACACAGCTTCATTTGTTCTCCAGTCTTACCAAGGTCAGAGTATTTTGAACTTTTAAAGTACCTGTCTATTACAGTCCCTGATCTGTAGATCTGCTTTCTCCAAATCTCCTTCTAATCTAATAATTTTTTGTTCCATCTCTCCCCTGTGTTCACGAATTGTCATATCCAACTGTGTAACCTAAAAACAAGACATAGAAAAACAAAGACAATCAACCCAGAGCACAAAGTTAGTATCTCTCATGAAACTATGCACCACTGAGATCAGTTACTTCTTAGCCCCCAATAATAAATACCATGTTTATTATACTTAGTGAACAAATCAGTCTGGTAAAGTTCTAACCTGAGCTGCTCTTTGTTTCAACTCCCAATTCCTTTCTTTCAATGCTTGGTCCATGTCAATAAGTTCTTGCTTTTTGTCCTCAATTTCATCCTTGCATTCCCTGTAATGATCATTTAAAAACAAAAGCACAAGGTCTGGTCAGGGAATCCAAAGGACGAGTGTCACCAACTTCCATCCTTCTATAACTTGACCCTATCCATGTTTGCTCAGAAATAAGTCCTACTGAATTTAGCCTGGCTTACTCGACTAAGCCTTCAATCTTCTGCAGTCTTACTTGTGAGTAAGACCCATCCAGCTCAGTGGAACTTTCTTGGACATTAACATGTGATTGTTTTAAAGTATGCAGATAAATAGTGTGGATGAAACTAGGGTTGACCAACAGGAAGAACGTCCTTTCGTTTACTAGAGGCTTAACATGTAGAAATGGGCAGCTGAAACTTTTGACAGCACAGAGGCAAATAAAATAACATTTAATACCTGAAAAATAATATCCTATGAACCCTATATTAAATATATATAACATTCCCCCCCCCCCCCGGCAGTTGGCAACCCCAGATGAAACAAATGTCTGCCAGAAAGTCTGTTATCTCAATATTTTTCAGGGGGGAAAATAATTACTGCTGTTTATCAGAGTTTCATTAAGCAGTCTTAAATATAGAACAGCAGCTAAAACTATGTGATACCAGGAAATAGACAGTGTGCCATCAATTGATTCTAATGTTCCAACTCTGTAATATAACAGTTAAACAAATGATTCCTTTAAGAAGTGCGCTTGGCTCCATCACAGTTCCTACTTACAATTTTTTTGGTCCTGTGTGTACGGTATTTGTGACAACTAAAGAACTCAAGTCACTATCTCTATCATGTGTATCATCTGTTTATTTTTCATGCCCCAGAAAGTATAAAGGTTCCTGGTGGGACTTTTTACATTATTTTAGTTCAGCATAGTGGGAAGCTGACAGAAAGTACTGAGAGAAGGCTTTCTGTCTACCCTTGCCCCACCTTGTTCAGGGCTTTTCCTTCAACAGAGACAAAAGAAAGACAAGAGTGGAGGTCTCCACCCTAAGCATGCTGGGGGCATGTCAGGATGGGGCCTTGCATTCAGCACCTGCCTCTTCCTGCAAAAGGAGATGGGTGAGAGAGAAAAAGCCTGAAGTGTTTGCTTCAGACTTTAATTTTCTTTTGATTCCACCCCACCCCCCGGTTTACAACATATGAGCTTTTCCTCTGCAAGAATATAAAGAAAGAAATAAAGTATTTCAATAAGTAGCCTCACTCTACAAGCTGTCAACGCCAGCATGAGTTTGAAAGAAAAACTTAACAAAAGAATATTCAAATGTACTAGTTTGCAACATCCATCTAGTTCGGTAGTAAGAGTAGGTTTACCTTAGTTCCTCTGACAAATCCTGGATAGCAGCATACTTCTCCTCCATAGACATCTGTGCTTTTTGCAGCATGTCCTGAAGTTCCTCTAGCCGTCTCAAAGTGGCTTTTTGTTCCTCATTGGCATTTTGCAAGTCAGTTTCTAGTGATTCCCTTTTCTGTACAGCATCCTTTTGCTGCATCTCACTCTGAAGTAATTTCTCTTCTAATATTTTTACTTCCATGCACAAAGAATGTAGAAGGAATTGTCAGCAAAAAACCCCCAGACACACTTTTCCTCATGCACATTCAGAGCACACAACAACATAGACTACTGAAGACATGCTAGAATACCAGAGTTCATTGATCATGTTCATCACATTTACTGCACTGCAATGCACTCAAGGTGGTTAAGTGTGTGGACTCTAATCTGGGAGAACCGGGTTTGATTCCCCACTCCTCCACTTGCACCTGCTGGATGACCTTGGGCAAGCCATAGTTCTGGCACAGCTGTTCTTGAAAAACAGCAGTTTCTGTCAGAGCTCTCTCAGCCCTACCTACCTCACAGGGTGTCTGTTGTGGGGAGGGGAAGGGAAAGGAGTTTGTAAGCCGCTCTGAGACTGCCTTGGGTAGTGAAGGGCGGGGTATAAATCCAATCTCCTCCTCCTTTGGGATATAATAATCTAAGGACATCCTCTAATCCAGATAATATGCTTTTAGGTAAACACAGAGTATATGTTCTTGACAGGTAACTTCACCCTTTTATTGATATCTCATGGTGTTAATTGCTAAGCCTGTGAGCTAATGCAAGAAAGCTTATGATTGATTGATTGATATCTCTGTGCAGGAATAGGGAAGACTTTCTATGCAGTACCAGGCCAGGAGAAACTGGCCTTGATGCAAGACGATATCACTGCAGGAAGGAAAGGAGATAACTGCAGTGCACAAAGGGGGCAGGAGCACCTGAGCAGAGGCTCAGTCCTGTAGCATCAAACCATACTTTGGCATTTTAAGTCTTACAGTGCTATCCTAAATAGTTACACCTTTCTAAGCCCAGTAGATTAGAAAGTGTAACTTTGCTTAGAATGGCACTGTTAGTCTATCACAGCAAAAAATGCCTAGTGGCCACCATTTAGAATTTGCTTTGCAACTGTAATTTATAAAGGTTCTCATACTTCACTCATATCTAAGAGAACAATAATTAGCTATGGAAAGAGCAACTGTACATTTGGGTACAGAGTTAGCCCAAACACACATTGAAGCAAGATGTTTTAAGCAAAGCAATCGTCACCATGAAAGATATCAGATAGGCTTCAAGTGTATATGGTAATCATATACATCAGACAACTGCTGAATGATTGCAAACCTATTTTTATATGTATTTTTATTTTTACAATAGTGTGATAAAACTAAATAATATAATCTGCGAGAAACATCTGCCAAACAAGCTATGTTGAAATTAATAGGACTTTCACATTACAAAAAAGCACTGTTAATACCTTGTTGTGTCTTTTTACGCAGTTCTGAATGTTTCTGATCCAAAGCCATTTCCAAATGGCTCAGCTGCATAGCTTTAGAGTGACTCTCTCGTCTTAAGTGCACTAATTCTTTCTCCATGTCTAATAACTCATCTTTGCACTGATCCATCTCCGTTTTGATTTGCCTAAATAGAATTGATAAGTATCAACGAGACACCGAAATAAAATAATTCTGAATAAACATAATCTTTGGCAAAACCCAATTTTCCATAGATCTACAATGTATCATTTGATCTTCTGCGACTCAAATATCGGTATGTCTAACAACAAAAATGGATCTGGACCAGTAAGACACCTTCAAGCTATTCAAGTCTTTAGAATTAAGCACACACTTAAATAACTTGCTTAAAAGTGTAAGTCTTCAAAGAATACAATGTTCAAGAAAAGAATCACAATTTAAAAAATCGAAAATACATAATACAGATTTAAAGAGCATAGTAAATTACAACCCAAGAAATTAACAATGACAGATTTTCTCCCCCTGTTTTACTGTGTAACTATCTGGGGAAAGATTGGGCATTAGTCAAGCAAAGGTTTTGTGATGTAGATTACTAGAATATGTATGCCTTGATATATAGACCTTGGACCTAAATTTTCCAGCACCTAAGAAATGTGCAAGATATTTTCACCTTGTTTCATCTTGTCTCTGGCGTGTCAGAAGCCAGACAGGTGGAGTTAGTGTGTCTGTGAGAGGGAAACAGATGAGTTCACTTGTGAAGTAAAGGGACACAACTCTTTACCCTTACTGTGTACCATCAAATCTGAGGAAAAGTTCCAAATAAGAACTTTAGTCTAAACGTCAGCCAAGCTGAAAACTTTATTTCACTGGATCAAGAACTGAGGATCAGTTTGGGCAGGAGGATTTGATCAGTAGGCTGAAACTGCCAGTCTAGCCAAACAGAAAAAGGAATATTGCTTCTAGGAAAAGGAGAAAAATTCTTTCTCAACTATTCAGTGGGCTCAAAACTGAAGGGACCACTGGAAATGAAAAAGGAAATGGTCTTAGACTCCTCTAGAGTCCAAGGGAAAGCTGTAATCCCACAGGGCGGGAGAATAAGTATTGGAAGAAAGTACTAATCTCCAGGAAACTAAGAGTTATAATCTTTATTAAGACACATTGTTACGGTTAAGAAATCTCCAAGACAAACAAACCGCTGTTCAGAACTGAGTCTCTAAGGAACTAAACTTCAACAATACTTTGTTGCCAGTTCAAAATATCATAATTTGTAAATACAATAAAATTTACTTTAGTTTTCTCATCCCCTGTATATTCCTAACCCAACCGTGCCTGTTTAATAAAATCATCATTCCTGTTTTAAACTTTAGTTCATGTCAAGTGCCATTTACAAAGGAAATAATGGGCTCCTGCTTATCAACAATAAATCTCTGGCCTGGGCAAAACAGGGTGGAACACTCAGAAAATCTACCACACGCTACCAAGGGGCTGCTCAGACAGAATGGGGAACAGCTATTCAGCATTTTGGCAGGAAAATCCATCTCACAGAAAAAGAAGCAGCAGGGGTCCGTCATAACATGCTATACGCATATCCGTTTAAACAACTGATTATGTACATGTGATGCAGGGGTGACAGAGATTGTATCCCATGTGCCACTCTCTTGAAATTGTTGTAAGGGAGTTAGAAAGGATGTAATTGCTCCATTTTTGGCTACGGTACCAGGCTGTTCAGCAGAATGGCCTAGTTACCTTGCTTCTTGCTGAGGAGAAATTACATATTACTGAAGAAGTGGCAATGTTTTTCAGTGTAGTATTTGAGACACGGTCCTGGATGGTGTAATAACTTGTGTTAATCTAATTTTAATAACTGCTTTGTTCTGTCATAATGCATGCATCTTAAAAGTCTGTTGACTGTATAATAAACTTCTCATTGTTAAAGAACATATCCATAGAAAAATATTCTGTACATACCTGATTGTGCTGGTAAGTTCTGTCACTTTTTGTCTTTTCAAATCATTTTCCTCGGAGGATAAATGGAGCCTCTCATTTGCTCTTCTCAACTCTTCTTCTGAATCTTCTTTTTGCTTTTGGAGCTCTTGTTCTAGTTTTAATAACTATTTTAAAAGATTTTATTAAAAACAGATTCAACATGCCATGAAATCTAGTCTCTTAAGCATGGTTACACACATAGTCAAATGGGGCTTACTCCTCTTAAGATTGCAGCCTTCAGCTACTAAATACATTGGAAGGTATGCAGTTTCTCCTTTCACAATTACTGTTTTAAAAAGGTATACATAGAAGTCAAACATATATGTCTAAACAGATACTTCTATAAAGATGTATTTGGTTAACTAAAAACTAAAGTGCTACAGAATTACATATTACTTTCAAATATAATTTTAAATACAGACACTGAGCATTTAATTCACTTGTTAAAACAGCAACAAACCCATGGAACCATGAAGCATCACACCAGAAATCAGTTAGTGTTGCGAAGTTTCATGACATTTAATGAGACTGCTCTGGAACTAATGGCTTGAGGACTATAGGCTGGCACCTCTAACCCAAGCCCAAGTTCTTTGGTCTAAATGAAACTGTGTTCTATGCTACAGGCACACTCCAGAAGAGCCACTGGAACCACAGGGGGGCTCAGTTCTTAATTGTATTCAAATTAGCTGCACCATGAAGCAAGTACTGTTCCCATAGTTTTATACATGTTTTGTATGGTACTTGAAGGGATAGATAGGGATATAGTTTTGTGTGTCCAATAGGTGTTTAGGATGTGCTTTTCTAATGGCCTCTTACAATAACCACTTTTGAAACTAAGCTGTCTTTTGCAAAACGTTTATGACACAGTGTCAAAGATTCCAAGCTCTCAGTGTTCTTACAGCTGTCCTTTGCATCACAGATAGTGGGTTTTTTTAGGATTAGGGTCAGCTAATCATTTTTATTTAGTTAGTTTATTCAATTTCCAGCCCACTCTCCTTGCACAGCAGGTTCAGAGCAGGCTACAACAAACAAACAATTAACACAGGTAGAACATAAAAATGGGATACCGTTGTTAAAACTTACAAACGTCAGGTACTTGATTAGTACTACCAATAGATGGTGATCTGTAGCTCAGTTGACGAGTCCCAACCCTACCTATGTGTGCCATAGATGGAAAAGCACATACAAGGGAGTCAGCCACAGTAGATGGAACAGGGCAGGGGAGGCCTCTGTAGATGGTTTACTGCCGCCTTAACAATAGACCTGATGGAACATCTCCATTTTACAGGCCCTGCAGAATTGCATTAAGTGCTGCAAAGCCCAGATCTCAGTTGGGAGAGTGTTCAACTAGGCTGGCACCAGAGCTGAAAGAGCTCTGGCTCTGGTTGAGGCCAGGCAGACTTCTTTGAACTTGATCCGGTATTCAACCAGAAGCCAGTGCTGCTGGTGCAGCAGAGGTTGCATATGTGCTCTTGATGAAGTCCCTGTAAGGACTTGCGCTGCTGCATTCTGTACCGGCTGAAGTTTCCGGGTCAGTCTCAAGCCCTGCATAAAGTGAGTTACAGTAATCCAGTCTGGAGGTGACTGTTGCATGGATTACTGTAGCTAAATCATGGGGAGAAAGACAGGGAACTAGTTGCCTGGCCTGCTGAAGATGGAAAAATGCTGACCCGGCAACCACTGTGATCTGGGCCTCCATAGAGAGCGAGGCATCCAGGATCACACCCAGACTCCTCACCATTGGCGCAGGTGTCAATAACACCCTGTCAAGAGTTGGGAGCTGGATCCCCAACCCCATATCCCTGCAGCTCGAGTACAGGACCTCTGCCTTTGTTGGATTTAGTTTGAGACAACTCTGATTTAACCAACCAGCCAGACCCCTGGACCAGCTGGCCGCCTATCAACAGATATAGCTGGGTATCATCAACATATAGATGTTAAACAACATGGAGGAAAGGAGCCCCCCGAGGGACGCTGCATACCAAAGGATAACGCTGTGAAACCCTTTCCCCAAGTGCCACCCTCCTGTCCCAGGCCGTGGAGGAATGAGGACAGCCAAGTGATCTTCTGTAACATAAACCCCAGATATCCTTTATAAATAATTTTAACATTTGTCATAAAAAATGCACCTGCTTTTGAAGTCTAGCTTGGCCATCTTCTAGATCACTATTTCTAATAGTTTCCTGATGCAACATTTGCTGCTGCTGCTGTAGTGCCTGCTGTAGAAGGAGATTTTGTTCACTGGTTGCTTGAAGGTTGTCATTTTTAATCTTGATTTCTTTTTGCAGCCGTTGTACCTGATACATATCAGCACATGGTTATGATGTAGCAGTAACAATTTGATATTTGTTCTCAGTGTACATGATCTTCAGAGCAGCTACTACTAAACCACTAATAAATTGTAGTTGCCATCACAGAAGTTTAGTACAAATTAAAATGCAAGTACACACAATATGGTCTATGTTTGAAATTCTATCCCAGTTTTAAATAAACAGTGACTCTGATTGAAGATCTTTTATAGTTTGAATATCAGAGTGCATCCTGAGATTTTTATGTACTACACCGTGGCACACTTAACATCCTAAACCACACTTAAGATCTCAGACCTGCTGTGTTAATACATCATCAAAATTCTGTGCTTTTTTTACAATTCCTTTCAATAAAATATCTTATTATGCTAATTCTTCCCATGACAAGATTTGCTTCTTTATGGACACATATTCCAACTCCACCAAATGGGAAGACCCATACTAACTGCATCACATGAAAAGTAAAATGCTCAAAAACATCCAGTTTACCTCTTCAGATTTCTTCTTCAGCTGCTTCTCAAATGACTCCTTATTTTCTTCTAGTCGACTCAAATACAATGCTAGCTCTTCCTGACAGATATCTAGTGCTGTCTGTAGCTGTCTGACCTAATTAGATAGAAGAATAATTTAAAATGAGGAAAGGTTAGTGTAGTTGCTCTCCAACAAACACATTAAACATATAATCAAATCTTCTGCTTTGCAGGTACAAAGTCAACATATTGGGTTGAGGCCTACCAACTTTTCATCTAGTAGAAGAGGGAAGAGGGGTGGTTTTTGGCTCCTGAAAAGGTGGTGATGGGGACTCTGGGACCCATGTGGACAAAAAGCCATGGAAGACAGGGCTGCAGTGAAGAAGTGGACAAGATAATCCCTTCTCTCCCTTGTGTCAGTGGAAATCACCTGAATAAACAGCCTCATCACTGGTCTATTACCAAGGATGGACAAATAGAGCTAATGTCCAATGGCTGCACAGAAGTCAGGCTATCAGCAGCACCTTTACATCAGAGTGTTCCAGGGGCTTGGAAAAACGTATCCCAGTCAAAGCACCCTTACTACCATAGAGATTTAAAGGAGAAAGAACACTGTACTGAAATGCTGGTTGTTTCCTATTTGTAGATGATTTTTATTTTTCTCCTCACTACCCAAACACATCTTTCTGGATTTCTTGCTCCTTTTGGAACTTTTATCTAAAAGCATCAGGTGACGATATCTGGAACTCTCTCACAGATCATACAGATGGCGCTTTCTTTCTCACTGCTTTCCCTTCTAATCTCTCCTCAAATCTACCTTTCCCCCAAACCCTACTGCTTAGCCATTTAATCCTTATCCCTAACTGAAACTAAAGATTCAGTCCAAGCTTCACGAATAAATGGAGTTTGTTTGTGACAGGCATGAACTTCATTAATTAACAGGTCTGCATGCTCCCTCCCTTTCTCCCTTTATACAACGCACACAAAAGAGCCTTCAACTAATTCTAATTAGTCAAGGCAGCTGCATTCAGACATCACAACATACAGAGGTTTCTTTCCTAGGATCTTGGATTCTTAATCAAACAAAACTTAGTTTGTTAGGGCACTAAAACTAACTGCACTACGCAAAAGGATGCAAGCCTGGCTAATCAGCCTGGTTCATGACTGTGAAAAAACTGTGGTTTGTAGCATCTGAATTACATCTACGTTTTAACTATGAAACGTAGCTCACATTCACACCTATTGCTTCTCCTTTTATTCTCTTCCCACCTGTTCCTTTGCTGCCTTTCTCACACAGTTAAAATTTAGGCTGTTTAAGGGAAAGGACCTGTCTTCTTTGAATATCTAAAGTGCCATGTACAGTGATAGTTTCAGGTGGGTAGCCATGTTGGTTTGCAATAGAAAAGCAAGATACAAGTCTAGGAGCATCTTAAAGACCAAAAAGATTTCCAGGGTATAAGCTTTCGAGAGCCTTGATCTGGATAGCCCAGGCTAGCCCAATCTCATCAGATCTTGGAAGCGAAGCAGGGTTAGCCCTGGTCAGCATTTGGATGGAAAACCACCAAGGAATACCAGGGTCATGACACAGAGGCAGGCAATGGCAAACCACCTCTGAACCTCTCAGGCCTTGAAAACCCTATGGGGTCACCATAAGTCAGCTGTGACTTGGAGGAAGAAAAAAAAAGCTTTCAAGAGTCAAAGTTCCCTTCATCAGATACCACTGATGACATTATGCATTAGATCCCTCAGAAAATGTTTGCTGAAGAAAGGGATTTTCAATAGTGGCGAACATGTTCCTCACCTCCCAGAATACCCCCCCCCAGTGCTGCTCCTGGGGGACAGAATACTTCCCCCTCAGAACAGCATAGGGGAAATATTGCTGAAAATCAGCCCCACTTTCTGTCAGTGGAAATTCTCCACCAAACCAATCCAACTCCATATAAATTATAACAATTTATACAGTAGAGCAAAATAATAATCCACCTCAAATATACGTAATACTTAGAAATACAAAAGATTTTTCTTTATAAATTTAAATAGCTCATGTTTATAACCTTGTCATGTAAAGAAAAAACATCTCAGGGATTCATTCTCCATTTATCCTCTTTCAAAATGAAAAGAACCAGAAAGATTGATAGTAATAAGCCTTTCCATTTTAATCAACTTCATATTTTGTCCAGATAGAATTTTAAAAACCCATAAAGATCCTGCAAGTCATGAGAAACTGTAAAAATGCTATTTACCTTTATTGTTTCCTCAGTTAACTGGCCCTGTAACGTCTTCAAAGTTTCATTGTTCTTGATGCTCTGCTTTTCCATTGCCTGTTTGCATCAGGATTAAAAGAGGGGGGGAAATTATTTTATTGCTCAGGTTTTATAGTTTACTGCTTAAACCATCAAGAAAAAATGTTCTACCTTTTCTGGCACCATTCTGCTTAAGGTTGACTGCCATCAAATTGTTGAATCTTTTTCTGTTTTTATATAAAAGAAAACTCTGGGTATTCTACTCAGAGGTTCCTGATCTAGTGGGTAGCCGCGTTGGTCTGAAGCAGCAGAATAAAATTTAAGTCCAGTGTCACCTTTAAGACCAACAAAGTTTAATTTTGTCGTGTGCACAGTATATGACGAAGTGCGCATGCACATGAAAGCATATACCCATAATTAAATTTTGTTGATCTTAAAGATGTGGTTCTGTAATTAAAAACACAGGGTTGGATCCAGTAGAAGGGATTTCCATCAGAAGAATGGGACTTTCTATTGTTCAACTTTTTGGTTATTTTATCCATCTCAGCCATGAACAGAACTTTTTGTATCCATTCTTCCAGATCTGGTATTTTTTCTTGCTTCCAATATTGAGCATATTGTGAAATATGAGCATATTGTGAAATAAGAAATTGTGGGAAGTTACTCCCAGGAGGGCACTGATTCACCTTCAGCAATTCCACTAGCAACCAAACATGACCCTAAAAACAAACTTAAAAGAATGGGGAAAACCTCTTCAGCAAACAGTGTGACAAGAAAGAATTAGTGCTACCTCTTTGCTGTCTACCAATTGTCGGTCCAGTGATTCAAGCTGACGTTGTTTACATATAATATCATGGTGTAAAATGGACACAGTCTTCTCTTGCTCCTGGAGTTGCTGGTTTTTGGTCTCCAGTTGAGTCTGAAGCTACATAAAAAGAATTCTTTATTTCCCTGCACCATATCTTGCATATATTTGTTTGAGCATGGCAGATAACTTTGTCAGCAATATTTATCACCAACACATATGGTATCAATTATAGTAATGTCACTAACAGTATTTTACATTTCAGGGGTGGGTAAGACGTTTTAGAATAAAAACACTGACACCTTCAAAAAAGTATGAGAACACAGTGATTGCAAATGCCACAACACGGTGAACTTTTCTAACCAAAGATCAGTGCTAGCAGACCTCTCCCTAAATCTAGTGTTCAACACTTTAAAGACAGGCAAAGTTCTGTTTGGGAATCTAACTTTGTTTGGATTCTTCTTAGAACCAGAGGAAAGGTGAATGGCAGTTAACCAACGTTTCAAACACTGGCTTGGATCCAGTGCAGTGTTTCTGCAGGCAAAACAACTTCTGCCTCCCATGACTTCTGTGTGTCCCCCCCATATGTTATCACCTCACTGTTCACTGATAACTCTTCTATTACCACCTCTAATGCTCTCCCCGCACAGCGGTCTTTTAGGCATAGGAAATTAACATTACATCAATATGCATCTTTAAAAGACCACAAGAAGCAGGTAGTGCAAGACTGATAAGCACTCTGTTACTTTTCCCCTCAGCACCGGAATAAGAACTTCAGGATTGCTGCTTATTTGTTACTTTTATTTATTTAAGTCATTTGTGCCCCTCCACTCTTAACCAGCATGGCTTCCAATACAGAACGACATTACAGTACAGTAAAGTTAATAAATTACAGTAGATTACTCAAACAAAAATAATCAGTGTTAATATACATAGCAGAAAGTATATAATACAAGACATAATCTTACTAATTCAATCTGTTTTTCCATTTCTTTGTGTTGCTCAAGATGAATCAGCTTTGTTTCTTCCAGAGTTCTAATGAACTGCTCATGTTCCTCAGCAATGTTTCTTTCCAAGTCGTGAAGCTTAGAATGTACTTCCTAGGAAACAACGACATGTTTGAAAAGTGTACACTGATGTCTGGTAGGAAAAAAAAATTATGGATCTTCACTGTAGATATTCTCTTTTAATACAATTTCCTAAATATCTAGAAGCTGAAAGAGGACAAATAAAATGCTAATCTTTGGAATGCAGGTTTATATTGTACGCAAAAATTTTAAGAGAAGACCATTCAAAATACCAAAACTTGTTAGCATAACAAGGTTAACATCACAACTAGGAATATATCTCCCTCCACCCCTAATGTTGTACACAGATAGCAAGATTTTTACCATTAGGTTCTGTTCCAGTTCAGTATTTCTTAAGGCAGCATTTGTATATGCAGTTGTTTTTTCTTCCAACTGTTTTCCAAGAGCTGAAATTTTAGAAGATTTCCTTGCTGCCTATAAACAATATTATATATATAATTTGAATCCAGGCGAAAAAAAGGATGAGGACATTTTTGGAATGAATAAAGGCAGCCACCCTCCCTTATTGAACATGGCTACAAACATATCAATAGAACCATCTGGATAGTGCCAGTGATGTCATGTCAGTAAGCAACATAGCTTCTCTTGTTCACAATTTTTAACTTATTTGCTGAAAGTGAATAGTTAGCATAACTATCAATATAACCTTTCCACAAAAGGATGGAAAAAAGGAGCAAACATTTTCAAGCCCTCTTCCTTTCCCCAGTAATGCTACCATTTAACACAATTTCTCTGATTTCTTTTTATCTAAAATAGCGAGCAGACATCTGTACTGCTTGCAGCACTGATTACATCTTCCTTCCCCCAAAACCATTATATGGAGGACAGGATATAATGCCACTGCTCTAGTTTAGAGTGTTTGAAAAGATGCCCCAAAGGCTCAAATAAACTTTGGGTATTGTATTGTTCAACTACCTGAATAAGATCTAAATAATTCGTGGATAGATGGAACAGCCAACCTAAGCAACCTCAATCCAATGCAAAAAAATGCCCCCCCCCCCATGAATTACTGAAAAAAGTAAAATTTATAGTGGGCAGGTTTTTGGAATGATTGCAGTGCCCTTTGATTTTACAGCACAGGGCTTCTTGTCCAATTATTCATCCCACTATACTGATGTAACCTTTTAAGGCCCACTGCCATAGGAGTGGGGTCAGTCACATGGGTCTTTCCTGGTTGATCAGCATCTGGTCTAAAAAGCACTTGTGTGGCCTTTCAGAAGTTATATTTATGCAGTAAGTCAATTAAACTAGTTAACACCTGAGATCACAGGCTTTTTTATTTCCACTTACTTCTCGTTCCATGTTTGTAAATTTTGTAGCTTTCTCCAATAGTTCTTCCTGTATTGCTTGAAACTGACTAGTTCGCTGGGCCATGTCAGCCTTTAAAGACGAATTCTCTTCTTCAGATTTTTCCAGCTTGGCATGCAACTCTTTTAGACGTTTCACTAATTTCTGCTTCTCCTTTTCAAACTTATTACTGATCAGTTCCAATTGCTGGCATTTTCTCACTTCACAAAAGAAGCACAAATTTCTAAACTTACTGACTATAAACTTAGAAATGAAAGCTGTGTAAAGGCATCTTTCAAAGAACAGTCTGCATTGACACTGGTGTCCTTTTGGCTATCTTTGCTATAAATTTAGGGTATGCTACATTTTAGCCTCTGTACCTGTTGGATCTCCAGTAAGTCTTGCTTGCTCAGCTTCCAGGCTGTACAATCCACTGCATTCTTGTCCTTCACTTTCATCAAAACAGTCTTGAGCTATCTTATTGACCATGATTCTCTGAATCTCTGCATCTTTCATTTGCAGTTTTAATCTACAAGGAAAAAACTGGGTGACAAAGATGTTTTTTTGTTGCTCAAAATACAATTACATAACATATAGTGGCTTGAAAACAATACCTTAGCTCTTCTATCAGGGATCTGCTTATATCACAGCAAGCAGCACATGATGCTTCTTTAGAACGACATTCGCCATGATATGATTCAAACTGCAGGTTAAGGAGGAAAAACAAAGGTTCATGCAACCAGTGAAGATTCTCATTCTTTTCTGGAACACCAGCCCCTCCTCCCCACCATCCTATTGTAAACTGATTTTCAATAATGGAGAACCTTGGAATTCAAAAGCAGCATACAATGTGGTGTACAAGATCTGCTGTAGCAAAAAGGTGAAAGAAACACTATGTGTATACAATCCCTCTGCATACATAAGAGGCTTTTTTTGCATCATGGTATTTCTTATTTGATTTTCTGATAACTAGCTTCTACACTTACACCAATACAAAATATTAGTAATTAAAATCTGTGTGGTATGATGCAGAACACAAAGCTAAGCAAACAAGGAGGGAGGGGAATTTTTCCACTAAGGCCAGCCTTTAGCGGAGGGTTGGGGTAAGGGTAACTCAGCTGAAGTTGTTTAAAATATCACCAGTAACCCCCACTGTGAATATCTGGAAGAAGAAAATGGGTTACTTTTTTCAGACAGGTCACTGTCCAACTGCTTCCCAGCATATATAACCTGTAAAACATGGCTGTATACCCATTCCTTCTTGGACAGCATTTCCATGTAAGAATTTTATAATGTGTGAAAAATAACAAATTTAAAATGTATTATTCCCAGATTTTTTTCTTTTTGAAAACATACCTATAAAACTGACAAGACAAATACTAAATTCATGGCAAAAAGAATTTACAAAATGTATATGGAAGAATAAAAAACAAGGGTAACCTTAAAACTGTTACAAAGAGGAAAATTAGAAGGTGGGTTGGTACATCTCAATACAGCAAATTACTATCATACAGCAATATTAAAAACTTTTATATTGTATATAAAGACCTTTATATTGTATGTAATATCATACAAAATATTAAGCGGATATGTGCAAGTCAAGAAGAAAGTTTAAGTTAGACCAAGAATTCCATTGCCTAATATTTCATGGTATGCTTCTAAATAAGTTATAAGGAGACACTGTGTAAAGTTTAGTAACCCACTGATTGAGGCAGTAATTGATATCTGGAGTCTGGACATCTTTTAGAAGGATTTAAGTCCAGGTGGTTCATTATTGCAGTCCTTCATATTTAATGCACACTTTAAAATTATGCATCCATGGTTAGGTTCAGTTAAAACAAACTGTACTAGGCTACTGGATGTAACCCTTAATGGGAATTGTCTACCATATTTGGAAATGACAGAAAAATTAAACAAAACAGTTGCTACTAGCAATACATCTCCAAAATTGCTACTAGCAAAGAAATAAAAATATTAAATATCTTACAACCAAATTTTAGTTTTAAAAAGTCAGGAGTACTGTAAAACTATCAAAATTGTCAGAACTTGTTCAGCTAAGAGATGGTCATATTAAAAAGCGTATTATTCTAACAGCCAGAGGTTCTGGAAGAAGGAATGAAATATAACATTAGAATTGTATAATTGTGCCTTCATTTTATAATAAATTCGATAATGGTAACGAGTAAATAGTCAAGACTGAGTATTAATTAAGAAGTTGTGTGTATTTGTAATACTGCAATGATTATTTTAAAAAAGAATTTTATGTTTGACACTGGTTACTAAAAGGCAACATTTACTGAGAGCAGTTCCACCAGAAGCTCCATTACAAGTATATTGTAAGCTGCTCTGAGCCTGCTCACGGGGAGGGCACAGTAGAAATGTAATAAATGAATAAATAAATAATTATAAAGGGATTACTATACAATTTATTTTAGCCCAGAGTGCTAGTTACTCAGCAATGGTCAATACATTGTACATTTAATCTGCCAGAAGTGCAAATATTTTAGAGAAGTTTCCTGTACCTCTTCAAGGGAACTTTGGGAGTACTTGAAAGCAGCACTTTCTAAAATAGTCTTTTCAGTTTTTAAATTTTCAATTTCTTGATGACATGACTTAAGATGATCATTTTGCTCTGCAATGAAAACTTTTAAGTCAGCGTTTTCTTGTATTAGTGTATTTTTGGCTTCGGCTAATGCATTTTGCTCTTGAAGTCTATTTTCCAGCACAACGATCTTCTTCTGGGAATGTGTTAGAAGCGTTTCAAGTTCAGAGGTTTTGGCTTCAATGCTCTTTAGGTTCTCTTTTCCAAAACAATTCTCTTCAGCTAATTTTCTAAACAAGTTACCAAACAAAAAACAAAAAAAACCTCACAGCAAAAGCTTCAGGTCTAAATAATCCCATTCCACCCATAGGTACTCATTATAAGGAATCCATGCAGTAACAGCTTACTACTTTATTGACAATGCAATCCTAAACAGAGCTGTAACCTTCTAAGACCACTGACCTCCAATGATTTAGAAGGGTGCAACTCTGCTTAGGATTGCAGTCACATTCTCACTCACAGTCTTGCTCTGACCAACAAGAAGATTATCCATCTACAGACAACAGTTTCAAGATGTATGAAACATGTCATCTTTACCCAATCATTTCTTGGCTGATAATAGAAAAGTTTATTAAAATCACACACACAACCCCCCAACAATACTTTTATAAACTATTTCACAAAATCAAGAGGATTAAATACTAGCACAAAATCTGAATGCATTTTGGCACTACATTAGTTTCACTACATTAGCAAAAAAACAGAGACCCCAAGCTGTACAGAAGGTTAACACATAGTTTAAATCTGTCTTTAGGAAAAAGCAGCCACGTGATTGCTCCATCATACAGTCAGTTGACTTTTGTGAGGCAGTGAATAACAATGTATGCCTGAAAAGCAATCTCACTATAGATGACTGAGCAGTAGGGTTTCCAAGTGTTACTCGTGATTTAGCGGAGGGAGTCCCAGAGCTCCCCGGGAAGTGACGTGATCGCGTCGGGCACATTGGGGGCGGGGCCACAATCATTCGAGGGAAAACCATAGAGCATCCCTCCGCAATGTGCCTGTGATCACGTCACTTCTAGGTGACGTCTTCACGCTGGGCACGTCGCACACTTTGGGGGTGGGGTTCCTCCCCGGTGGCCCGATCTGGGCCAGCGGGGAACGGGCCTCGTGAATAGTGGTTTCCCCGCCCCCCAGGGGGACCTGGCAACCCTACTGAGCAGCAAAAGTACGTGTATATGGACCTGGTCACACTATAATGTGAATCAACTAGCAACCCAAAGTCACAGGAATTCATGGCCCAAATGTCAAACAACTGTAAAGATAATCTCAGAGCAGTTTTTCTATACAAAGAAGTAAGTTATAACACAAACATTTTACCTCATTTGTTCTTTCATGTTTTCAAGCTCGCTTCTATAGGTATCACATTGTGCCTGCAACTTTTCCTTTTCTTTTACACAGTTCATTAGCTTGCTTTCTAAAATTTGTTCTTCATCCTGAACCTGAACAAAAATAAGGCATTGCTTTTCTACAATTAACTGCTAGAACTAACTACAGAAATAAAGTTCCAGCCCTGCTGTGAGCAAGCCCATGCTGTCTTCTTGTGTATTGATGCAACAAAGCATAACAAAATGAGAGAGGAAAATCCCTACTGCTGGAAGAAAGGTGTTCAGTCCTTTTGTTCCCACCGTACAATATCCCATCCCCTCCTATTACAAGGAATGGCAGTTATCAAAAGAGGTCTGAGGAGCATGTGTGTGTGGTGGATGACAGGAGCCTTATTAATCCCAGTGCCAACATCCTCTTGGAATGTATTAGAATGGAGTGCAGGGAAGAGAATTTCACATTTGAATCAGTGTGACACACATGTCACCTGCATTGCTCAGGAAGTGATGCCATCACACCAGCAATATCCAGGTGACACTCTGGTACCTGGGCAAAAACTCTATGGTAGAAGCCAGTTTTACCATACAGTTTTTGCCCAAATACCAGAGTGTCACCTGGAAGTTGCTGGCCAGAAACAGAGCCTTTCTCTTTCTCCTGGCAACTTCCCACCATCCCCCGCCGGTTGCCAAAAGGGACCTGGCAACCTTAGTGGGATAGGCTACAATGAAATGTACAAAAACAGGGCTAGCTAGTAGCAACCTTAATTTTAGTACTAAACTATGAATTCAAAGATTCCAGTTATATTTGAAATTCCACTTAAAAGGTCAAATCCTACCTTTTCCAGTTTTTCTGTTATTTTTTCTTTGTACTTTTGAAAAGTTCTTGTAAGCTCCTCAGCATTATATAGAGCTTCGTTTCTTTGCTGTTCAGCTCTTTAAATGAAAGAGGTACCTCAGATTTAAACTGACCAAGGACAGTAATGATATTAGATTATTCTTTTCATAACACACACACACAAATATCTTTAAACACAAACAGTAAGTGAACAGCATCCAGTTATTTTTATGTATATGTATAAAAATACATATGAACAGCATGTTGGAATATGCATGGTCTATCGTGCATGGTCTATCATGCATAGATATGATTTTATTCTGTTTTTAAATTTTTTATGTAAGCCGCCCTGAACCTGCCTCAGCGGGAAGGGTGGGGTAGAAACCCAATAAATAAATAAATATAAATAAAGAAAATTACAAGAATATCCTGTATAATATATATATTATATATTGTTATGTTGGAATATGCACGGTCTATCATGTATAGATAAAGAAAATGACAAGAACATCCTGCATGGGCCAGCAGAGGGGACAAGTAGTTAACATAGTAAGATTAGGGACTTTCTACTATTTTCAAATAGTCATCTTCCTGTCTCCTGACTGCCTCAATTGGGGTTTTCCTGCTCCTGATGAGATCTCTTCATTACTGACTCCCTGGTAGCCAGTAAGACAGTTAGACTTCTCTTTCTTACAAAGTTTGTTCTGTTATTAATAAACTTGCTTCATTCTTTAAAAAGCTTGTGCTCTGATTTACTGCATATCTACACTCTGCCAACATATTAAAGATAATGAGTAACCTTTGTTTTAAATTTCCTTCATAATGACAATAGAATATTCCATATAAAGCACATAGCACACTGATATCCTCTAAAAAAAAACACCTTTTACTGAAAGAGAGCAAAACAATAGACTGGCCAGTGTTCATTTTATGTCTTTATACAGCTTTCAAAGTAATTAACAATTCAAACTCCTAAGGCTAAATCTGAAACATAAGCAGCTATTAATTCCTCCACAACACTGAGAGGCAGCCTAATTATGAGTACCTACAGAAGCAAATGTCTCCCATTAATTTCCTGGTCAGGAATATTACTACTATGCAAATAATGGTGAAGCACACATGCACATAAAAAGAGGGGGAAGCTGAACAGGAAATTCATGCTTTGCACAGGAAATCTGTGCGCTTGTTGCTATTCTCATATATAACGGCAGTTAAAGCACAGCGGTCATGATCTAATTCTGTTTGCTCTTTTATCACTGTAAAAATATGCACGTATCATGCTGCTGTAAATGGAACTAGCAGTTAGTGTGAAGGTACAGATCTAATTTCCTCTCAGAGTTGCTCCAGAGGAAAGATTAGGTGCAAGCTCAGAATGCTAAACTCCCTCCAATACAGCCAACAGCCATCTCTCAGGCTCTCCCTGAAGAGGAGCGAAGAGAAAAACATCTGAACAGGGTTTTGAAGGCAAAATTCTTCAAGCTCAGAGCTCATATTGTGTCAGACAAAGCAGTAGCATACATTTTACCAGATCAAGGTCTAAAATACTGCATCTAAGGTTTAATATATACTAGGAGTAAGACCCCTTGTGGGAAGAAATAAAACAAGCTCTAGAAAGAGGCTCCAGGTGAGTGTCCCGGCTGTGGCTGGTGGGGCAGTGAAGGGAAGAGGAAAATAGAGGGAGGTGAGCCATGTTTATTTCCTTCTATAATGCAGGGCTGTCTCAAGCAGTGTCCCCTCTAAGCTCTGGAGTCTTGTGAGCAAAAAATCTACTTTGTGAGCTACTGGCATTCAAGTTGTGAGCGAGAGATTTGGCTACTGAATAAATTACTTGGCTCTGGAGCCATCCTTCCTGAGCTTAGACAAAAATGTGTTAGCCAGAGGTTAAAGAACTGTGAGCTAGCTCACACTAACTTAGCTTAGAGGGAACACTGGTCTCAAATAATCTTGCTGCCTCAAGTGGGAGGAGAGCCGCATGCCATGTTTTCTGGGTTTCAAGGGTCTGGAAAGCAGTTCCATAGGCAGTTAAAGGATTGCCAACTCTGGGTTGAGAAAAACCTGTAGATTTGAGGGGTAGAGCCTGGGGAGGGCAGGGTTTGGGGTGTGGAGGGACCTTAGCAGGGTATAATTCCATAGAGTCCACTGCCCAAAGCAGCCATTTTCTCCAGGAGAACTGATCTCGGAGATGACCAGGTGCCGCCTGGAGGCTGGAAATAATAAGGGGAGGGCCAGGTTTGTTGAAGGACTTCGGTGAGGTGTAATGCTATACAGCTCACCCTCCAAAGCAACCATTTTCTCCATGGGGACTGATCTCTGTAGTCTGGAGAACAATTGTAATTCAGAGAGATGTCCAGGCCTGCCCTTTCCATCCAACCCCTTTCACTTCCAAAGGTGTTCCCTGTTTAACATTGTAACTGATTAACAGTTTAACTGACTCCCTGCTAATGCCCCACAGCCTCTTGGGACTCCCAATTTGGGAGTTGTGGTTCTAATTCCCTTTGCTATGGTTGCAGTAAGGCCAGCTGAGAACTACAACTCCCAAGGTGCAGCACATCAAAAGTGGGGGTGTAACATAATATACAGGATAGGCTGTCATACATGTGACCATTACAGCAACACTATTTTATTTTTGCTAATTTTCAAGCCTTTTTATATGGTCAAAAAGCAACAGAAATGTTTACATCCTCAGTTTGATAGCAAGACTGCTGAATACTCTCTAATGATCTAGATCACTTCTGAAATAACGTTTGTTGTTTAACAATAAAGCATCTCACAACAACTATTCTACAGCAAGATAAGTACTATCAATTTTCCAGAATAAAAACTGAATTTGTGTAATTTGTTACCTCTTTCCATATTTGCTCCATTCAAGTAAATCATCTTTCATTTTTTTATATTCCTCCTTGAACTTCTGCAAAGCATATTCTTGTTCCATTACTATATCATGGCTTTGCACTAATTTCTCTTCTCTCTCTCTATAAAAATAATTTTAAATTAAAAAACTATAAGCAACAGATATTACATACTTTTAAACAAAGATACCCAAGCTAAGCATGAAAATTAATGTAGATTTTTCTTCTTCTCATCACCTAAGACTGGGGTCCCCAACTTTTTTGAGCCTGTGGGCACTTTTGGAATTCTGACACAGTGTGGTGGGCTCAGTCACAAAATGGCTGCAATAGGACACAGTGCCAGCCACAAAATGGCTACCATAGCTTATGTTCAGTGACACAGTGTATATATTCATATAGTGTGGCGTCAGAGGCTGCCAAAGCAGTGTTTTGAATAATCTGCACACCCAATCAAATCTCCAGTAGTTAATCAGAAGCTTGGTTCGGCAAAAGCCTCCCCTGGCCACACCTACTTTCTAAAAGCATTTGGTGGGCCACAGGAACGGAGTCAGCAGGCACCATAGTGCCCATGGACACCATGTCGGGTAACCTTGACCTAAGACGTTTGAGACAAATGACCAGCTTGATACACTGATGCAATATAACCTTTGAAAGACCAAATTCAAAATGCAGAAGGATTTCTGATTAAAACAGACAGAAATGCATAGCATATATATGCTTAACACCAGGGTTTTTTTCTGGGGGAACACACTGGAACAGAGTTTTGGAGCCTCTTCGACAAAAGTTTTTTTTAATGTTTAAAAGTTCATGAGTTTTTAAGTATACAGATTGAAAACTTTATTTCTGTCTTGAGAGTTCCAGCACCTCTGTTGTTGTTTTTTTTTTTTAAAGCCCTGCTTAACACTATGATTCAATCCATGTTGGGCTGGAAGTAAGTCCCACTGAAACAATGGCCTTACATCTAGATGTGTTTCATATAAAAATATAAGTAACACTGAAATCAATAAGGCTTTTAAATTACACTGTCTGAAAAACAACAGTAACTCATGTGGGCTGTTCACTCATTACAGCTAAGTGCAAGCCGAGGGTTCTCTCCATCTCACCAACCATATGAAGTGATGATCTAACTAAGCAGTCCAGTCTTTCCAGGACAGATCAAGCATGCTAAATGACATTTAAATTAACATAATATAGCCCTTTTACTTAATCGGTGGAATCCAACCAATCTTTTGCTAGTAAAAAAGGAGGGGATCCCCTTTGACCACCTAAAAAGGCTATGCTGGGAATCATGGGACCCTGCATGGAAAAAAGCCATATGGGATGGGGGCTGTAGAAAGGTAAATTTGGGAAGATTTAATGAAACACCTGGCCAGATCCAACCCACTGTTTTCTTCCCATGATAAGGGGTACACATGAACCAACACTACTAAGTAGGCATTTCCTCACAGAAATTCAAGTATAAACTAATCATGTGAATAAGAGAGAAGAGTAAAAAGCAAAAAGTTAATTACTTCAAAACATTATCCTGAGCTTGAACTTCTGCTTCCAAGCTTGCTATCTGGTCTTCTAGCATCGGAATGCTAACAGTGTGTGTACCCAAAGTAGATTCAAAGAAAGACATCTGAAATACAAATACGTAGGAAGAATCCATTAGAAATCTGTTTGTTGGGTAGGGTTGCCAGCCTCCAGGTGGGGCCTGGATACCTCCAGCTTTCACAACTGCTCTCCAGCTGATAGAGATCAGTTCCCTTGGAGGAAATGGCTGCTGTAAATGATGGACTCTATGGCACTGTACTGTACTGAGGCTCCTGCCCTCCCCAAACCCCGCCCTCTTCTGGATCCACCCCCAAATTCTCCAGGTATTTTCCAACCCATACCTGGCAACCCTACTGTTGGGGGTAAAATAGCCACTCTTCTTTCTCTTCCGTTAGTGTAGCTCTGCTTACGAAAGAGCCAGGAGTGAGTAATTCTTTCATGCAACTCCTGCAACCCTGGGAATAAATTTTCCTAAGGCTGGAAAGGACTGAAAGGAGGAAGAAGTCAGGAAGAACTGTGATCCTTGTGCTGAACCAAAACCATAATTACTCAAATCATTGGCCTCCCTTACAGACTATTTCTTCTCCATGCACACTCTTTGATACATTACCAAAAAAAAGTTTCATGTTTGACTATTCAATTAGCCCTGTTTAGTTATTCTTAACATATCATAATGGTGCACACTTTAACTATTTGTGCTTCCTTCTCACTATAGCCAACCAATACAACATAACATGAAGTGCAACTAATTGGCTGATGCTCACTGCAGTTTTCCTGGGCCACATGACTTTTAGTTAATGTGAGCCTCACAAACTCCAGTATTAGCATTTTGGTGGTCTCAAGAGACAGAAGAGAAAGAACCATGTTATAAGCATCATTGTGCTAACGTTTCAAAAGATCCAAGCCAAAGGCTTTGTCATACCCTATAACAAAGTTATAAAAAAGGTGACGTTAGGGCTGCTTCACACATTATGTTTTCAGATGTATACTTAGATTATTAAGCGTAAACTTGAAACATACTCTGCACATTAGACACATGTCCCACACAAGTACTCATCACACACTTAGGTCTGGCTGCAGCTCCCTCTGAAGCATAAATTGTGTCACAAATCATGATGGAACCCACCCAAATGTTTTCTTTTTCTGAAATATGATTTTTGCTTAACTGAGTTCCATAAGTTTATATCAGAATATAATATTTACGAGGGAGTTACTAATAAGTACTAACAATCTACTAACAAACTGTTTAATTACCAACTAGCAAATCTAGTAATACATATTAGATTCAGCCACAGTAAATGAGAAGAATGTTTTAGAGTACAGTATCATCTTTGGCTATTGCCCTAAAACAATATATCCTGGAAAAATGCTTACTTTTGCTTTTGATTGGTTCAGTTCAAATTTTATAGCTTCCATCTGGTTCATTAGCTGGTGGTTCTGGGAAGTCAATAACGTGTTTTGTTCCCTGAGAACATTTAATTTGTCCCTTAATTGTTCATTTTCTTCTTCCATGCTTTTATCAAAAGATACTGAATAAGACTAGAAGGCAAAGTATGAGAGTTGTGGCTAAAATCAATCAAAGTGAACTCAGCATTTATCAGACCTATAAGCCCAATTCAACAAGAATGTAATATACAAGCATTAATAAAGAATAAACAAATGTTCATAAATTGCTGAATAATTACTTTGCTCCTGGGTTTCCTTGGAGAACTTCTTTTATGTAAAGATACTCTGCTAACAGCATTACGAGCTGAAGAATTTTTTAATTTGGTTGAATAAGCAAGGTCTTCCATTGTTAAAGAATCAAGTTCTCCCTCATGTATGCTTTGGTCTGAATCATCACATGAACTAGAACTAAAGAAAACAAAGTAAAAAATAGATAAAAGCACTAACTTCTCCTAAACTTTGAAACAAACAATTCATCCAGCAAATTATATTAGGATACAAGTGGTTACTGCAAATATGTTAGTAAATAAAATGAAATTCTACTTTTGGGTATATACATACCTGAAAAGCTCTTCTCCCAAATCTTCTAAATTTCTCTCTGTTTTCCTTAGTTGGCCCCTTAAAGCCATAACACTCGCAAGCAAGTCTTCCTCATCCTCAAGATAATCATGGCACACCGAAAAGTTAGATTCCATAGATATACATTTGTCTAATATAAAAGAAAACTAACAAAACAATATTAATATCACTGTATCCGCTAGTTGAAGAAGATTGCTTGTTAAATACACAGATGCTTATAAGGTAAAACTTTTTCCTTTCAGCTTATGATGCTGGCTTCCTTCAAGCCATTGCTTTTGGTATGTGATTTCACTTTTCCCCTCTCTTGAACAATGCCCACCCTCTTCCCAAATTAATTATAATCAGTATGAACTAGGTTTCCTCAAAACTATGGTTTGCAAACCAGCATCAAACAATAATCATCATCTCTCATTTAGAAATGATCTGCTTTAGTGTGTGCATATTGTAAAACCATGGATAACATTGAGAAGGGAAGATGTGTAGACTGATACTCTCAGGGAACTGCTTCCTTCCTTCCTTCCTTCCTTCCTTCCTTCCTTCCTTCCTTCCTTCCTTCCTTCCTTCCTTCCTTCCATTCACACTATCATTGCACCATGGATGCAACTTCCATCTGCATACTTCCAGGCAGCTAGCATAGATCCTATCCCTGTCTCTCATCTATCCTATCCAGAATGGAGTTCACTAAATAAAGAACTCTTTATTAGTTCTGAAGCTGACAAGTGGTTCTGTGTAACTCTGTAACTTTGCCAGCACATGTAGAACAAAGAAGCTCTGCCATGTGTAGCCAATAGTGCACCCTGCTAAATCGATAGGTTCCTGGCTTACCATACCAGTGAATCTATTATTTCAGTTTGTGGGGAAACTTGCAATTTAAAAAATAAAATACTAACCCTTCCCCCAGATACTATAATTAATACCTGTATCTTTAAGAGATGAATGCCTACTGAGACTACAGACTGAGATCCCAATGGCCATTTGGTGGGGTGATAGGCAACCATAACAATATTGCTCAGCTTTCCGCCCCTGATTTCTGTCAGTCTAAGGTGGGAGGGGAAGGCCAAAAAAGATGAAAGGGAGGAAGGAAGCAGGAAAGGATGAAAGGTTGTAGAAAAAGAGAAAGGTAGGTAGAAGGCAAAAAATGAGAGATTGCTAGACAGAGGAAATAAAGCAAAGCTAAAGACTGAGGGGCAGATATAGGTAGGTTGGTTGGAAAGAAGAAAGCAGAAGTATTGTGTGAAGTCATGGGGACTACCAGAGGAGCAAAAGGAAATAGTGTGGGGAGGGGAGAAGGAGGGTACCCCCAAGTGAATATTGATATTACTTCTGCATGCTAATATAATGTAAAAACAATTAGTTAAACTGTTTTATTTATCACCCATTATTGGTACCGTATGAAGCTGTTCCTTGCTCTTCTTGAAAACAGTCCCATATTTTAAATCTAAATTAAATGTTCATTCTTCATAGCACAACACTTTTATATATAATTGCATTTATTTTGCAAGTAAAATAATCAATGAATAAGGAAGCACATTAAAGCACTAGAAATAGTTCCATTTTACTAATCCAATAACAACTCCATGCTAGAAAAAAATATTTGAGTTAAATTCTAAACTAATCCCTAACCTAAACAGCAAGTGATACAACACTACAAATATGATCATTTTCAGAATATTTACTGTAGTTTATTGTGCCAACTTTAAGTTAGATGTATACTTTTCTACAAAATTGCTGATAAATATGTGTGTATATGTATGGACATACTCCTCCTCTGTAACAGGAGAGTCCTATCTTTTTGGTTCCATTTGCCTTCTAATTCAGTGTACTTTAAGGGGATGCACATTCTCCTCAAGGTTTGACATTAACAAGCAATGGGACAGGTAATGATTCTCTGGTAAAGAATGTTCAGACAAGCATTGTCTTCCCACCTTGCAGAGCAGGTGAACAAACTGAAGTTTATTCCTGATGAGACAGAAGCACTACTGGTAATGGAACCAAACCAGGAGAAAGATTATAGCTGTTCTCGATGAACCTGCAGTCCCCTTGAAAAAGCATGTTTGAAGTTTGGGCCCTGCCCCGCTGCTTGCAAAACAGGTAGCCAGCGCTACCTTTTCCCATTTTAGGCTGATTTACCAACTGCAACCAATCCTGGAAACAGTACACTTGGCCATTGCCTTGGGTACCCAGATGGAATACTGAACAGGGATTACTGAACAAGAGGCTAAATTTGCAGATGACACAAAGTTGTTCAGGGTGGTGAGAACCAGGGAGGATTGTGAGGCACTCCAAAAGGATCTATCGAGGATGGGCGAGTGGGCGTCAACATGGCAAATGGTTCAATGTGACCAAGTGCAAAGTGATGCACATTGGAGCCAAAAATCCTAACTATAAATACACATTGATGGGGTATGAAGTGGCAGAGACTGACCAAGAGAGAAATCTTGGAATCATAGTAGATAACTCAATGAAAATGTCGAAACAGTGTGCGACTGCAATAAAAAAGGCCAACGCTATGCTGGGGATTATTAGGAAGGGAATTGAAAACAAATCAGCCAGTATCATAATGCCCCTGTATAAACCAATGGTGCAACCTCATTTGGAGTACTGTGTACAGTTCTGGTCACCACACCTCAAAAAGGCTATTATAGCATTGGGAAAAGTGCAGAAAAGGGCAACTAGAATGATAAAAGGGTTGGATTTACATTACAATCTACATTTAAAAAAACAGGCTGTTTCTGTCAACTCCCTTGGATGATGATTTTGACCGACGTAAGGATTGCTGTATTTTTCAGTAAGGCTACCATGGGCTACCCATCTTAGGCTCATGTTCCTTGACCTCCCCCTTTCAATGTTGTTAGGCAGCAATGCATCATCAAGTGATGGCATTATAAGTACATATTATTCTTTAAGCGATTGCTTTGCCTGAAATGAAAAAGAGGCATCAAGTTCTTACCAAGGCCTTGATTTTTGCTTCTGTCTCTGATTTACCCCAAAGTTTCTCAGACTAGAATTTATTTGAATTTCTGAATTAAAACTGAAGGCACACTTCACCCCAACTGGTTTATCTTTAACAATGGCCGTTGCCTATGTTTCTGCATGAGTCACTGTTCTGAGTCTCATGATTAGACGGCATATTCAGACCATTAATTTATGCAGAGACACAACAGACAGCCTCCTATGAGGGCAGCTATCTCTGCATTAGGAGAGACTGAATGATACAATCATACCTATTGTAGAAGCTCATTGGAAGGAGGCATGGCTAGAGCCTTGGCATGCTTATTTATGGCTGAGTGCTGTGGGATAAAATGGATGCTTTATTATTTAAAGTTACATATGGTGGTACACACTTGGAGAATTGTAAAAGGCTCACACAACTTGGAAAATGAAGCACAATATTAGGGCAACAGGTTGGACACGAGAGCCCTCCAAAATAGGTGACTTATTTGTGTGTAAAGTGCCGTTAAATCCCAGCTGACTTACAGAGACCCCTTTGGGTTTTCAAGGCAAGAGACTGACAAAGCTGGTTTGCCATTGTTTGAACTAGCCCGGGCCACCCACGTCAGAGCAGACGATCTCGTGAGCCTCCCAGTACAATTCCTGCTTGAACCTTTCGTAGTTCTAGCGCTGTTTTTTACACTGTCTCGTCAGCCTCCTTCCACTTGGAGCGCAAACTCCCGCCTTGCTGTTTCTCCCTCACCTACCTCAGGGCTCACCCTTCCATCGCAGCTCTAGCCACCCCTCTCACAGGTCCAAGGAACCGCCTCAGTCGCGCGGGTTCCAGGCTGGAGAGCTTCACGTTGCTTAGCAACACTGCATTCCCCCCCCCCCCGGAACCCCGGGGGGGGGCGCCGAGGGGGGGCACCATTAAACCCCCAGTCTGCCCTGGTATTGACATGTTACACGCGCCCACACCCCCTTAATTATTATATTAGCACCAGCGACGTAGGAACTCAACTCACCTCTCCTTACTCAGAGAAGCAGCAGCAGCAACTACAGGCTGAAAAAGCTTCTCTCGAATAACCACAGTGACTTCGCTTTACAAACTTGACCCTTAGAGCGACCCGTCAGTCGTACATTCGAATCGCGCGGGCTATGAGGGTGAAGTACGCGAGGCGAGACGTATAAAAGATGCGCTCAGTTGCTCTCCATTATGCTCTCGGGAGTTGTAGTTTTCTCTTTGGCAAACCTCCCTACCCTTTCTTCAGTGCTATTTTAACGAATAAATAAAATATTTGTTACGGTCATAGGCCAGCACATATTTCCACAAATGCAAACTATATTTCCCACAATGCCTTGAAAACCTAAAAGCTTGAGACGCTTCCGATGACTACAGAAAGAGACTGACTAGTCTTTATCACGCTCCTCCCACCCTTCCATTGACAGAAGTGGGAATAGTACTCCCCCTCGGGCGCTGTGTATTGTGGGTAGTAACCCGTTCTTCGCCCACAGCCACAGGTGGCGGCGGCTGGGGTGAAGGTGGCGTGGGAGAGGCGGTGCGGGTCTATGGTGGGACTTGCCTCCTCCGGAATTCCCCGCTCCCTGGGCCTTGGGTGCGCCGAGGGGATGGGGATAGAGCTCTGGCGGCGTCTGCTGCTCTCCTTCTCGGTGTTATTTGTGCTGCTGCCTGGAGCCCCGGGCTTTATTTCCTCTCTGGACAGCGACTTTACTTTCACTCTGCCCGCCGGCCGGAAGGAGTGCTTTTTCCAGCCCATGCATAACGAGGCCTCCCTGGAGATCGAATACCAGGTAAGGGAGAAGGAAGATATACTGCCCCCCCCTCCCCCGGTTTTTCCCTCAGCTTGGTAGTTTGGAGTTAAAGAACTCGCGCGTGGGTCAGTGCCAAGTTGCCTCGGGGGCCACTCAGCAGACGCAAATATAACACTTTTCCTGGATTGTACTTCTGAAGGCTTGTGCGGGATGCGTCTTGCATTTTGAAATACCTTAACACCGGGGTGGGTGGCGGGGAGACCCTCTGTATGGGAAAACTAGCACACTTTTAAATTGGGTTTTCTCCGAGATTTGGGACAGTGCAAATTGGTTTTTCTCCGAGATTTGGGACAGTGCAAATTGGTTTTCCCTCCTCCATTTTACACTCACAGCAACCCTGTGAGGCAGGCTAGGCTGACTCGGGACTGACTGAGAGTCACCCAGTGGATTTCAAGGCAGAGTGCGGATTTGAACATGGGTTTCCCAAATCCTGGCCCAACACTCCTTGTTATACCATTGTGAAATACTTTCTCATAGGAAAAAGAAACCCTCTTCATATGAAAAACTATCATGTCAGCAAGGAAAGCTGCTGTTTGTCACACTTTTACTCTACCCTCCCTCCAAGAAGCTCAGGATGGCTTACATCATTCTTCCCTTGTGAAGCTAGGTTGGGCCCATTGAGTGATTGCCGCAAAACTCCAGTGAGTTTTTTAAAAATAAATTAATTTACCAATTAATTACAGTGCAATTAAAATCAATTAATTCACCAATTAATTAAAGGTAAATGTTCCCTTGCTCGAAATTGAGTGATTGTCGCAAAACTCCAGTGAGTTTTTAAAAAATCAATTAATTTACCAATTAATTACAGTACAATTAAAATCAATTTATTTACCAATTAATTAAAGGTAAAGGTTCCCTTGCTCAAAAGCCAGTCAAGTCCGACTCTAGGGTTGCGGTGCTCATCTCCATTTCAAAGCCGAAGAGCCAGCGCTGTCCGAAGACGTTTTCATGGTCATGTGGCCGACATGTCTAAACACCAAGGCGCACGGAACGCTGTTACCTTCCCACCGAAGTGGTACCTATTTATCTACAGTGCAAAAATTAATTAATGTGCACAAGAACAGTTTAAAAGTCTGGGTAATATATGAAATCTATAGATTGGTTTCCACTAGCAAGAGTTTCTTAAAACAGTATTATTATGAAGGTTTACAGGACAAACAGTCACACAGATCCACCAATTTATTATTAAACTCTATTTTATAACAGTCCAATCAATAACATATTTCTTATATCAGTTGATTAGAAACTACTATACCTATATAAAAACAGTAAACGATAGCCTCCTAATTTTAAATAGTCCTAAAATGTGACTGATTTGGTTTTAAGTATGAGATATGAAATTTTCTTCCTAGCCAGTTCTTAAGCTAATTGTCCAAAGCACCAAGATCCCTTTAACCTATATCTCTATATCAGAAGCAAGTTACTAAACAACAGAAGCCTAAAACCCACAAACTCAGATCGCGAGATCTACTTACTGATGTAAACTCCCAGGCACGTCTGCTATTCACTTGTGACTTATCTTATATAATTAAAAACTATACACTAGAAGATCTGTAAAGTACTATACCAAATACTACTTATATCAAATAACAAAAAAGGTAATAAGAAATACCAACTCTCTAGACCAGTGGTTCTCAACCTTCCTAATGCCACGACCCTTTAATACAGTTCCTCATGTTGTGGTGACCCCCAACCATAAAATTATTATTGTTGCTACCATAAGACCATCGAAAATTTGTGTTTTCCGATGGTCTTAGGCGACCCCTGTGAAAGGGTCGTTCGACCCCCAAAGGGGTTGCGACCCACAGGTTGAGAACCACTGCTCTAGACCGTCTCTGCCGAACACCAACCTCCCCCCTCCCAAGGGAACCGGCAGCGGTCTCTAGCAAAGGAGCAACTGAACCCTGCAAGCCCCCCCCCATTATATCACTACGCTTATTAACCAACTTTTTCAAGTCTCTTCCAACTTTTAAAACACTATTTAAACAGTTATTTATATGACCATTTAAGCCTCTTTACAATCCTTTTACGAGGACCATTTGCTTGGAGTACAGCCTACGATCTTCTAGTGTTGGTGTTAGTAAAGCAACATAATTGCAGCTTACTACCAGTATAGATGGGGTGGCTTTTAGGCAGATTTGTGTAACAGAACTTTTCCTTGTAGAAATTAAGCACTGGATTTTGCCAGCTTCCCTCCTCCCTTGCTTTAAACTTAGCATATACACAACAAAATGACAAGTCAGACAGATGTTGTGAGGACATACCCTAACCTCATTAACTTGTGGAATCACAACTTTTACAGTGCTTTTCTAAAGGACCAGACAGAAAGTCTTGTAAGTAAACTTCCCCCAGCTGGAGGAGAGTTGCTGTCCTGTTTATTCTACAGAATTAATAGGTTCAGCCAAATGTCACGAAAGTCAAACTGTGTCATATGTCAACCTGCTTTTGGTAACTAGATTCAACAATCTAGCCAGCACAGATGTTCTGGAATGGGTTTTGATGACTTAAAGCCACGTAAGCAAGTATGTCACGAAAGTCAAACTGTGTCATATCTAGGTCTGAGTAACAATAAGGTAGAAGTTGGTAAGCAGCGTGTCTCTTCCATTTATATGGAACTGACACAGACTAGACTAGCAGATACTGTGCTTTTCTGTTTGGTATTACTTTACAGAACAGAATCTAAGGACTCAAACAATAAATGAATTAGTTTGTAATCTCATCCTATGCAACTTTACTCAAAGTAAATCACAAATAAGTTCAGTGCTGCTTACTTTCAAGCAGAATGCATAGGATTGTGACATTATGGTGATTATAATTTGGTTTTGGTCTCGCCACTTTTTGTTACTGAAAGCCTAATTCCATTGTAGCATATGCTGTCATAGCATACATAGATTAATTTCTGCCATCTGAGAAAACCGATGTTGTGGTTAACAAAAGAAACTATTTAGACAAAAATAGTCATAATAGGACTGCCAGAATATTTGGATACGAAGTTAAACTTTAAAACTTTAATAACACTGAACTCCTCAATACTGTATTATGCTATAATGAGAATAAATATTGCCAAATATATTCATACTGAAGCATTGAAAATACCCTTGAAAATGTGTTGTATATATCTACAGTGAAGACAAGCAGTTATCACTATACTGAATTCTCAATGTGGCCAAATCTGTGGATATTAAATCCATGGATGGAACTATGAACAGACAAGACAGCTCTTTCTACAAACCCAAGGAAAGCCCCATGTTTGCATAAAAAACTGAATTTTTTTTAAACAAATGCATTAGGGGAGGGGCTAACCCCTCAAATAATAAAATGAGTGCCTGTAGCTTTAAGAAACTGATGTCCTCAGTTGCTGTTGCTAGGCAACCCCTAACAGTATTCCCAAGTCTTGGTTTCTGTAAAAAAAAAAAAGGCAGGGGGAAAGGGCCCTTTCCAGCAACCACCAGGTTAATTGTTACAATCTTGTCTTGTGTGACTCACCAGCTGCTTGCTATTGTTCAACAGGAGCCACTCCATGAAAGGGAGTGAGGTGCAGTGGTTAGTTTCAGACTGGGATCTGGGAGATCCAGGTTTAAATCCCCAAGCTGCTGTGGAAGCACACTGCATCACTTTGGCCAGTCACACACAGTGAGCTGAACCTACTTCACTAGGGTAGTTGTGAAGATAAAACTGAGAATGATGTAAGCTGCTTTGAGTCCCTGTTGTGGAGAAAAGCAGGGTATAAATGAAGTAAATAAATACTAAATATAGCTGAAGATGGGGGGCAGATAAAATCACTGGGACTAACAGGCACTGTATTAAGAGATGGGCATGAACCTAAAAGAAGAAGAAGAGATTGATTTATACCCCGCCCTTCAGTTAGGGTTTCAGAGCAGTTTACAAACTCCTTTCCCTCCCCCTCCCCACAACAGACACCCTGTGAGGTAGGTGGGGCTGAGAGAACTCTGACACAAACTGCTCTTTCAGGAACAGCTGTGCCAGAGCTTGTGACTGACTCAAGGTCACATCAGCAGCTGCAAGTGGAGGAGTGGGGAATCAAACCCAGTTCTCCCAGATTAGAGTCCGCACACTTAACCACTACACCCAAACTGGCTCTAAAAAAGGTGGTTTGGAGTTCAGTGTGGCCCACAAACTAAACCTCAAACTGAACTGACCCAAACAGGCCCCACCTGAAGCAGTCTGGCAAGTTCAGTTCTCCCTTTCTCATGGCTATTCCACAGCCGAGGAAAGGGGGCAAGGACCGCACTGTAAGGGACTTCCCTTCCACCTTTCTCCCAGTCATGGCTCACTGGGGCCTGGATGGGGGGGGGGATTACCTGGGAAAGGACTTCCTTTCTCTTTTTCTCCTGACCACAATTTACCACAGCCGGGAGAAAGGGGGCAGGGATTGCTCGTGAACAGCTGAGCATCAGACCCTGTACCTCTCAACTGTTACGTTTAAATGGCTGGCAGCTCCCCAATGCTTCAAAGGGGGTAGCAAAAGTAAGGGGTTAAATGGATCACAGCCATTTAACTGAATGGCTGAGCAGGTCTACCAAAAGTCCAGTATATGTTCGGGGAAGGTACCTTCCCTGAACATCAGTTCCTGAGCTCCAAACTCGCCCATGTTTGTGCCCAATTTTGGCTCATGCCCATCCCTACATTGTATTATGGTGGTTTGAGTCCTATCTGGAAGTCAGTCTCAGAAGATATTGTTGAGGGATTCCTCCTCTGCCCCAAGGCTGTTAACCTGTGGGGTGCCACAGGGTTCCATTTTATCCCCCATGCTATTTAATATTTATACGAAGCCATTGGAAAAGTTCATCTGGAGGTATGAGCTGTGATGTCACTAATATGTGGATGATACCCAGCTCTGCCTTTCTTTTCCACCTAATTCTGAGGATGCTGTTGATGTTCTGAACAGGTGCTTAGAGTCAGTAATGGGCTGGATGAGGGTGAACAAGCTGAAACGATATCCTGGCACTCAAACTGAACTGACCCAAACAGGCCCCACCTGAAGCAGTCTAGCAAGTTCAGTTCTCCCTTTCTCATGGCTGTTCCACAGCCGAGGAAAGGGGGCAAGGACCGCACTGTAAGGGACTTCCCTTCCACCTTTCTCCCAGTCATGGCTCACTGAGGCCTGGAGAAGGGAGGGGGGAATTGCTTGGGAAAGGACTTCCTTTCCCCCTTTCTCCTGACCACAACTTACCGCAGCCGGGAGAAAGGGGGCAGGGATTGCGCATGAACAGCTGAGCATCAGACCCTGTACCGCTCAACTGTTACGTTTAAATGGCTGGCAGCTCCCCAATGCTTCAAAGGGGGTAGCAAAATTAAAGGGTTAAATGGATCACAGCCATTTAAACTGAATGGCTGAGCAGGTCTACCAAAAGTCCAGTATATGTTCGGGGAAGGTACCTTCCCTGAACATCAGTTCCTGAGCTCCAAACTCGCCCATGTTTGTGCCCAATTTTGGCTCATGCCCATCCCTACATTGTATTATGGTGGTTTGAGTCCTATCTGGAAGTCAGTCTCAGAAGATATTGCCCCAAGGCTGTTAACCTGTGGGGTGCCACAGGGTTTCATTTTATCCCCCATGCTATTTAGTATTTATACAAAGCCATTGGAAAAGTTCATCTGGAGGTATGAGCTGTGATGTCACTAATATGTGGATGATACCCAGCTCTGCCTTTCTTTTCCACCTAATTCTGAGGATGCTGTTGATGTTCTGAACAGGTGCTTAGAGTCAGTAATGGGCTGGATGAGGGTGAACAAGCTGAAACGATATCCTGGCAAGATAGACGTTCTCTGGGTTGGTAGAAAGGCAGACTAGGGACTTCAGATCTCCCCTGTCTTGAGTGGGGTTATGCTCCCCTTGAAAAGCCAGGTATGCATCTTGGGAGTACTGCCTAACACAAGTGGTCGCGTTAGAAAACCAGATGGCTGCTGTGGCTCAGAATATGTTTGCCCAGCTCTGGCTGGTGCGTCAACTGCATTTATTCCTGGGTTAGTCAGATCTAGCCACAGTGATTTATGTCTTAGTTACTTCTGGACTACTGCAGTGCTGTCTACTGGGGGCTACCCTCTAAGTGTATTCAGAAGCTGCAGCTAGACTGCTGGTTGGGGCCAGCCAGGAGCATATGTCCTCAATACTTCAGCAAGTAAACTGGCTACCACCAATCCACTCCCAAGCCCAATTCACGTTTTTCCTTTAAAGCCCTACATGGCTTGCGATGGGGGTATCTGAAGGACCATCTTTCTTCATATGGTCATGCCCAAGACTTAATATTGCAGGGAGATGCCCTCCTGACTGGCCCACCAATTAAAGACACTCATTTGATGGGTACATGAGAAAAGGCCTTTTCTGCGGTAGCCCCACAATTGTGGAACAAGCTCCCTGTTGAGGTACGGCTGGCCTCATCATTGTTGATCTTCAGGAGGAAGTTGAAGATAGTTTTTATTTAGGACGATATTTTAATTGATTTAATTTTTATTATTAGCAATCCTAATTGGAGTTTTTAAAGTATGACTTCTGTGGGTTTTATAATAGTTGTTTTAATTGGTTTTTTAATAATATTTTATTTATAGTAAGCTGCCTCGAGTTCTGCAAGGAAGAAAGGCCAGTGTTTTAAATAAATAAATAATTAAAAGCTAGATTGGGTGGGTCTGAAGGGGAGAAGCAGGGAAAGATGAGACTATGGGAGATGCCAGGAGGAGGGAAAGAAGAAATAGTGTGGGGAGAGGATTCAGGGGAAAGTGAAGTACCCCTGCAAATCCTTGAAGGTTCCCCACCATATGACTGAGTCTGACTCAGCCAGCTCTGCACCACTTGGCCAGAGTCTTCCAGGGGAGAGAAGGAGGGAAAGCTGAAGATAGGGGGACAGACAAAAGTTGGTTGGGTGGTGGGTGGGAAGGAGAGAAGAAAGCAGAAAGAGAGGAGAGACTATAGACAAGATCATGGGGACTTTCAGAGAAGGAAATAGTGGGTGAAGGGGAATTGGATTCCCCCTGCTTGTCGTTATGGGTCCTTCACTTGTCATTATCCAATTCTGTAAATTTTCTTACATAAACGTTTTCATGCTACCTGAGTGTATTAAGCTTTGTTATAAAAAGTACTTCACCCAATCCAAAAGAGAAAATATTTCATAGGTCTTTTTTCAGGTTCTCCAAAGTAAAATGGAGGAAAAGTCTGATCCCCCCCCCCGCTTTTGCATCTCTGCTTTGTACAAATAGAAGCTGCTTTCACTTTTAAAGGGGTCTGTCTGTGACTGCTATAAATTTCATACTCAAGCTACAGCTTGCCCACTTCCCTTCCATTGTAACCCATGTTATTCCTAAGAGTATGACCCTCAGAAGCAACTTCCTGGCTGTCACTGGAGGAAGTGGCTTCAGAAGAAAAAGGAGTGGTGGGAAATATACTTTCTGTGGGCAGAATCCCACTTGTGATTCCTTAACTACAACCCATTGTCCATAGTAATTCATTGTTGAGTTCTGCATGTGGTTAGTAGCACTTGTAAATGTATTAGGTTTGATTTCATCCTAGAGGTATCTGCATAATTTTAAAATTTAGTAGATGCAATTTCCATCTGTTCATATTGTTCTCTTAGGTTTTAGATGGCGCAGGATTAGATGTTGATTTTTACCTGATATCACCAAAAGGCGAAACTCTTGTTTTTGAACAGAGGAAATCAGATGGAGTCCACACGTAAGTTTTAAAATGAGTATATTCAGACCTCTTTGTTAAATCATATTTAGTATGAATTGGGGATGGGGGGGATGCCAAGTGCCCACTGAATGCTTGAATTCTACAGTCTGACTGTGTTATAAGAATTTTGAACATTACAATTCTTCTGTGTGCTGCTGTATAAAATAATACAAGCATTTCATGGGAAAGCTGTTTCTGCTTGTACATGAGGTTCTTTGGATCCCTGTTCACATTTAATGGCTGTTAGCCATGGTGATGAACAACAGACTCCATATTCAGAGGCAACAAAGCTGTAAATACCGGTGCTAGAAAACAGCATTGGTGCTATGCCCTGATCTTTGGCTTTCCAGGGCAGTTGGTTGGCTACTGCATGAAACAGGATGCTGCATTAGATGGGCAACTGGTCTGATGCAGCATGGCTCTTATGTTCTTTTGATGCCTTGTCCTTCCTTCGAAGAGCTCACAATGTTCCTTCTTCAGTTTAATAGGCTTTTTCTGAACAGGGAACATTACTGTTTCGTAGTAGATTCTTGCAGAAAAGCTTATGGCTATTCTCACATAGAATTTATATGGCTGTACTAGTTAATATAGAAAGTGTTTTAGAATCTCGAGCAAGATATCTTTGTAATCTAGTCCAACCCCCTGCTCAAATAGGTTATGGGGTTTTTTGTTTGCCCCCCAAAGGGGATTTTTTTAAATTTGCATTTCTAAAATAACTACATAACTATAACGAAAGAAGGGGAGGGGAAAGACTACAGACTAAGGGAGACAGAGAAAAAGGCACTAAAAGTCCAAGTGTAGAAGGTTACATATGCTTATAGATACAAAGTTGTAACTCTTATCCATTAACTTCTGACATGAGGAGTTTCCTTGTTCATCGCTTCAAGTTAAAATCCAGCTTCTCTGTCTAGACAGAGAAGCTAATTAAGAAGTATAGAGACCTTAAAAGACATTGACATCTCCCATTGCGCTTCCCCTCCCTCCCCACAAACATGACGTTGTGGAGCCTAGATTTACTCAGTCCATACAGTCATCTCAATTTGTCCTCTTCCTTCTCTGTTGATTCTTCTTTCATAAACAGCTTTAATGAAACAGGCTCTGTCCAGTTAGTACTGCTTTCCTTTTCCAGAGCTTTCACTCGCTTATTATGGTACAAGAGTCCAATCACTTTTTAATCTGCTTGCCACCATCCAATACAAGCTATACACAGTCTCAATTTCATCTATAAACCAAGATTCGCTGCTTCGTCTTCTAAACACTATCCCTTTAAAAGTCTCGCCACATTTAGAGCCGTTCCCATTGAATATCCCACTTTAGCCAGCAGATGGCACCCGATTCTATGCTGTAGGAAGAGTCTATGGTTAGGTCACCTGACCCTTGGAGGGTTGTTTACATTTACCGATTGAAGTTGCCAAAGTCTCAAAGGTCTGTAAATGCTTTTATTAGGAAATTTCTACTGTAATCCATTGCCACTGTTAGCTCAGTCCCCCACCGTCCCGCTTCGTTCATTCACTTGAGGGGGTAGGGCGTCCCCTCCCCCTTCCCACTTTAGTTTGTGGGGGCTTCGCAACAGGGCTCCGATGTTTCGCTTTAACTTAAACTCACTCATCTGTCTTCAAAAACGATCCAGCAGGTCTCCCTGGGATCTCGCTAGGCAGAGGAAAATCGCCAAACCTTCATACGCTTGTCCCGGTGGTCGCTTCAATACTGGGAATCAGGGCAGGACCTTCGGGGCAGAGAGCAGCCCCCATGCCGGCTGTTGGCCGGAGGTAGGGCTCTCCAAAGCCCCCTGGCTAGGAGTTCATTGCTTATGGACTCCATGGGGGAGCACGCACAATCACGCTCCCTCCTAATCCCCGATTCATGGCACACGTCTCTTGGAGGAGCCGAGAGACGCGGCCATCGTTGAGGCACCAAAAACCGGAAGTCCTCAAATAGGTTAGGTTGAGAGAGTGTGCAGAAAATTCTTGGACTTACAAATACAAATACAATACCTTTATTGGCATAAAATATCAAATACACATGCAGCATATATCCTCAAGATAGGCTGGAGGGGTATCACATTCCGAATTGCCTTAAGATGAGCCTCTCCTCCTAGATACCTCATAAAAGAAATTTGGTACAGGTTCCAGAATTTCTATATTATGCGAAGACAATAAAGAACTAATTTTATGCTCATCAGATTGGCCCAAAAGGGGGTCCAACACAGGTTCAATATAAACAACACGGATGTCACAGTGGAATTTACAGTACAATAGCACATGTCCAATGGATTCGATTTCCCCCATCCCACAGGGGCACAATCTATCTTTATAGGGAATTTTCTTGAACCTTCCCGATAGAACAGCTGAGGGAAAGACATCGAACCACGCTCGCATGAAAGCCCTATGAAGTTGGGGCTGAATCAGTCTAGCCAGGTATCCTGAGGAAATGTGGCTAAAAGAAAGTCCCATACTCAAGGGAGAGCAATGTCTGTGTGCAAGTCTTCTCAGATATTGCACCTCTATATCGAGGAGTCTTTGTTTGAGTAAGGCAAAAGCCTTCTGCTCAGACAAAAGTACCAAGTCATCAAAACTAAAGCCGATTATAGAATTTTTTTTCTCTATATTAATCAACCAAGTCGATAGATGGGATTCAGTTAACATGTGCACCACAAGACTGTTTGGGCCACATCTAATTCTTGGACTTCTCCCATGTGTTCCTTATGCAGCTTTATGCTTAGAAACCAATCAAAGGCTTCTATAGACCAGAGCATGGCTGATAACAACTCAGTTTTGGCTTAAACTTCATTTCCATGCTAAAGCTAAAAGTATTATTACTCATATGCTGAGTCCCATCTCTCTCCATGGCTTAGATATGTAGAAGAGAAACTCTCTACAATGGGAATATCCCCAGATTATTTAGCCCCCTTTTCAGATAAACAAGCCTATGCTATCATTAAACAAAGATTTCTCGACATCGAAAGGCAAGAATGTACGGAACGTGCAGCAGCCAGCAGATGCTCCCAAAGTAGGCTGGGGTCTTTTGGCATGGGGGGCAGATAATGGAGGCTGTTGCAAAATTCTTATATTATGCAATCAGAAGACGAGGCTTAAATAGCCAAGTGTAAGTGACTGGTGCATCTTAGTATTTTGTTGTATTTCCATGATGTTTTGTGCTTTCAGTGCCAATAAAGGTTGTGTGTGTGTGTGCAACTGGCCAAAGTCACACAGTGAGCTTTCAAGACAGAGTGGGTCTCCCAGATCCTAGGCAGACACTCTGACCCCTGCACCACATTGACTCTTCTGACAGTTGTTGACATAGTCCTCCCTTGTATTAACTAGGCATGTTGTCAAAACTGATCATAATGATGAGACTGCTTTAACATGTAGGTTGTGATTTCCCCCCCTCCCCAATGTCTTGTGCTTGCAGAGTGGAGACAGTTGATGGTGACTACATGTTCTGCTTTGACAACACATTCAGCACCATTTCAGAGAAGGTGATTTTCTTTGAACTGATTTTAGATAATGCAGGAGAAGAAGATCAAGAAGACTGGAAGAAGTATGTTACTGGCACAGATCTTCTGGATATGAAACTAGAAGATATTTTGGTATGTATTCAGTCAGCCTTTACAATATTTGTGGACTGTGTGGTTGCTGTCACCAGGTCTCCTTTTTGCTGCTGCCATCTGGTCAGTATTGTCTGCTAAGCAGAACAGGGTGTAGAGTGGCAGCCCAGCTATCCCAAGTGGCCTCACGGAGATGGAAAAGAGGGGTGTATATATTTATTAAATATATACCATGTATTTCTATCAGCAGCTGGAGGAAGCTAATAATCAAAACTGCATTAGGAATAGAAAAATACAGGGTTAATCTTTCCTTCTGCTGCTGGCAGCTGCTGACATAAGTGGCCATAATAGGAATGGCAAACTGTTCATTTCCCATACATCACTAGCAGGGATGATAAATAAAAAGGAGCCATAGCTATTTATGTGAATAACTGCTTCAGATTCCTAGGCAATCACTTCTGGTTTCTGGGCTCAGTAGATTTTTCTAGCCTCTCTTCCAAATGTATTTGTGCACACAAGTATGTGGGGAGGATTTGTGGAACATTAAAGCAGAGCCTTGGAAAGACGGAACTGGAAAAGCATGGACACAAAATAAAGAATGCACTAGGTTCTTATGGTTAAGAATGCAGAGGTAAGGTTTGGCTCGAGGGCTAAGAATGCTGAATGACCACTCCCATTCACCACAGAAGATCTCCCGAGTCCTGTAAGAAAAACAGGTGGTTGAGAACGTATTGGACAGTCCTAAGAGTTTATAAATGACATGGGGTTTAGAATAAGAGTGGCATACAAAAGGTAAAAGAGCAGTTCCAGTTTCAAATGTGACACAGTACAGAAAGGAGAGTGCCCTCTTAGAATTAATTTGGATATAGACTCATTTGGAGCCAAGCACAAAGGCTGGTGGAAAAGGAGGATGGGATGGAGCTATACCCGACAACTTCTGAAAATACACAAATTCTTGTAGTGAAACTGTCATTTTTAAAAGATTTGTCGTGCTAAAATAAATATTTTGTTATTTACTAGGAATCTGTCAACAGTGTGAAGTCTAGGCTAAGCAAAAGCATTCATATCCAGACCCTCCTGAAAGCATTTGAAGCTCGTGATAGAAACATACAAGAAAGCAACTTCGATAGGGTAAACTTCTGGTCCATGGTCAACCTGGCAATAATGGTTATAGTGTCTGCTGTTCAGGTTTACATGCTGAAAAGTCTCTTTGAAGATAAAACGAAAACTAGAACTTAACAGCCTTGTGTGATAAGAGCAATAAACAGAGAAAATGCAATACACTGCTACAGAAAAGCCAATGAGTGTTATTTCCAGTTTGTTTTGAACAGGTGATACTTAGGTTTCACAAATGACTCTTCAATGTGGACAAAATGCCTTTCTTTTCTCTATCAACATAATTGCAATAGGTCAGTTTTCAGGTTTGTTTCATAAGTTTAATAATTGTAAGAATCTCCTATGCCATCTGTATTGCACAAAATAAAGATTTTTTAGTATTTGCTATACCTGTAAATATATAATGTCTTAATCTGTCAGCCTAGCTACAAGTTTTTTAAATGTGGCAAATCTGGATATATGAAATTATGAACTGTGTATTCAGTATTTGAGTCTGCTTGACTTGGGAAACTCAGGTAAAAGAAAATCTGCTGTAGGTGAACTATGCTGTTATTCTGGCAACAAGTTTCAGTGGGCATCAGTAGACACTCTTGTGGCTCAACTGTACTAAAAAGAAATTCAATAGACAGGGGTATCTAAAAATTTCCAGATCCTAGGAATTTTTTGACTGTATATGAATGAAGTAGCTGTTTTAACTTCACTTTCATGTTCAATTACAGTGTAATATTATAAGGTTGGGCTCCTTATAAGGGTTAAAGCAGGATGTCATTAGTGCAAAATCAACCACTAGAGTCCTGACTGGGATTGTTGAGCTAATATGCCAAATTGGTATTTTTCTTGCAATGGATTCTTACAAGACTTCAGAATTGGTCTGAAGGTGAAACACAGTGAGATATTTGAACACAAGCAGTGAATACTCTATGTGAAGCTACAATGAGGCAAATAATGCCCCTGTGCTGTGGGTCTTGAGCTGAATTTGTTTCAGGTGTGAATGCAAACTTCACTTCCCTCTAGTCACATCTGGCAGTGACACAATCAGAAGCTGGTCTGGGAACCCAAACCCTGAAATGTGGCCAAATGTCCCATCCAGTTTGGCACTTTAAAACTAGTGTAGGAAGGTATACATTTGATATGGCCATACTTTTTAGTTGTGAAATAAAAACAATTTTACTGTGTTGCACATTGGTAATTTAACTCAATAAGTGCCTGGGCAGACTTCAGCAATCTACTTTTAGTCATTGTTAGTAGTCTCAGTTGGGGGGACAACTTTAGTCTTCCTTCTCCAGTAGTCTTCCGTATTGATTAGCAGGAAACTCTGTTTCAGTAACCAAATGCCATCTCTGTAGTATGTTTAAACCAGCATCACTATCTCTTCCTTAACTATTCACAAGGAATGCCTGGAGAACTGTAGTCCTAAAGCCCAAACTAGCTGTGACTAAGATAAGCATGTATTGCTTTTCACACCAGTGAGACCACCAGTGAAATGAATCCTCACAAATTGCTACAAACTCAAATACAGATAGTTGAGAATGGGGAAAAAACGACTGGCCACTGGCTATTCTATGTATGAAAGAAAAATATGGGATGACAGTTACATGACATCTGTTTTTCCCCTGAACATGGTGAGAACTTCAGCATATAGCCCCACACAGTTACTACATATAGGGAGAAGAAAAAATGTCAGGACAGGTAATCTGTTTCCTTCGTTAAATAAATATTTTAGAGCAGCCATTCTTTGTGTGTGCATATGATTTGATAACTTGTTTGTAATTCGGTGTTGTGAGAAAGACCCATAAAGTCACAAATAATTCTTAAACCTTAACTTGAAGCCTGATTATATTTACTAGTTTTAAATATATATGTTTTAAATATATATTTAAATACTGCTTTCTTGTACTTTGTGTTTTCCTTTATTGTTATAACCCTAAAACAAGATCTTGTATTTTTAAAAAAGCACATATTGTCGTTCTAGCAATTAAAAATGAGCACAGATGCATTGCTTGCATTATCCTAAGAATGTACAAAAGGAAAGACTTGTTATGTGTATTCTGCCATATATACTTAAGGTCACAGCCTGATCTTTCTGGCTTTGACTGAAGTGAACCATCTCACCAAAATAATCCACATGTTGATATTCCATTGGAAAAAGCGGTACACTACATGCTTCATTTCACATTTAGAATTTATCCTACAGGCATAACTGTGTTAATATCCCCAAATTACTCCTGATTGCACAAGATTGCAATCAGTCATCTTTTCTACTGATTTTCCTCATAAAAACCTTCTATATGAACTTCTTTAGAATAATTAGTCTCTTCCTTGTAGGCACACATTCTCCTGTTAGTATGGGGAAAGTAAAAATATCTCACTAGCAAAACTCTAGTTTTTAAAAATAAACTACTTACTTTGGATTCGCAAAAGTAACTCCTATAAATTTATTCCAATTTATTAGTGACATTTACCAAACACCCATGATCTACTCTAGGAAACACTTCAAATGTCAAAAAAGTTAGTGCCATAGTGTTTTTTTTTTATGGATTCTGGTCTTTATATACACAGTTGCCACTATTTTATGTTGTTGTTGGAACCCTCTGTGGATAGGATTATTTTCATGCATTGATTAATGGGCTAATTTTAAATGAGTAATAGCATATTGCTACATAGGTGTCAGATGTATGGTTCCAGGGATGTGATTTCTATGTGCAGTAGCCTACAAAATACTAAAGCATCTTAGAGCTGATGCATGCTTCCTCTCAGATAGTTTGCCATTTAAATTGTAAAACAAATGCTTAATAGCATCCATTGTAATTAAAAAGTGATGAGGAAGAAAGTCAGTCCTGCTTCTCTATTGTTATAGGGAACTCTAGCCATTTAAATATGTGCCATTTACAACTAGAGTATTGTAGTATTGCATTTAAATGGGAGATAGATCCAAGTAGTCAGCCATGTTGGTCTGAAGCAGAACAAATTTAGAGTCCAGTGGCACCTTTAAGACCGACAAAGGTTTATATTCAAAGTATGAGCTTTCGTGTGCATGCACACTTTTTCAAATACAGTATAATGGGAGGTAGGGTTCAAACTTATAGATGGGTTATAAGATTTATTTTGACATTTATTGCTTTACAACTGTTGACTTAATAACCTTACCTTGTTTGACCCTTACATCCCATTCCACTGTATTTGGAAAAGTGTGCATGCACATGAAAGCTCATACCTTGAATAAACCTTTGTTGGTCTTAAGGTGCCCCTGGACTCTAAATTTGTTCATTTAAATGTGAGTTCACTCATAGCCTTTGTAGTATAGCATCAGATCAGGATCCAAGAGATCCAGGTCAGTTCCCCATTCTACCATAAAGCCTGCTAGGTGACTGGCCTAAAACAGAAAATCAGAGCACAATGTATACCACCCCCAGCTCCTTAACACAAATAAGTAATGTCTGAATATTTAAAACTGCTGTAACACAAGTTCATTGTACCTGAAAGCTGTGATTAAGCTCTGCTACTAAACTTTTTGCTGTAATATTTCTGGTTTGCATCAACTTTAAAAGGCTACACCAACTATAGACCCAGTTTGGTGTAGTGGTTAAGTGCGCGGACTCTAATTTGGGAGAACCGGGTTTGATTCCCCACTCCTCCACTTGCACCTGCTGGATGACCTTGGGTAAGCCATAGTTCTGTCAGAGCTGTTCTCTTGACAGTTCTGGAAAGAGCTCTCTCAGCCCCACCTACCTCACAGGGTGTCTGTTGTGGGGAGGGGAAGGGAAAGGAGTTTGTAAGCCGCTCTGAGACTCCAAGTGAAGGGCAGGGTATAAATCCAATCTCTTTTCTTCTTCTTCTATATAGCTCAGTACATTTATCAATTGTTGCCTATATTACTTACTTGCATCGAATGCTATCGCTGTGTTGGGAATAAGAGCTTGGATAAGTAAAAAATGTAAACAATTTTACTTAATGACATAGTAAATGACCACCTGTGGCTATGCAATTGAAAAATGTAGACTGAAGAAATCTTAGAACTGCTGTTAAGACAGCATGAACTCAGACCATTCTAATGTCTCATTTCAGAAGACCACATAACTCTGTTATTGTCTCATAGGCTCAGACGCTGAAGCATGGAGATTGCGTTTTCATTAGCCTACAATGCAAAAAAAAACCTTATTATACAGTTGCTGGAAGAAGTTGGAAATTGCAATGATGTTACAGGTGAAGTGTCACCATAGCCAGCTTCCCAGTTTAAAACCAGCTGTAGACATCTGATCAACTTATCTACCTAGGAGGCTACTATACAGAAGGGAGGTATACTCCAATTTAAAGTCTCATAGTACTTTAGGTCCTTAGTCTAATGCCCAGCTTCTATTGTTTGAAAATCAGAGGGATAGGGGTGTACACCAGGGAAGTCAAAGCATAGTATAATGAAACTTGCAAGCAGGAACACCAATGGTTAAGCTCTTTCAAATATGGAAAGGTGCCTGGAGTTCAAGTTCTTAGCAATGACATTAATATTTCTATTCCATATGGCAGCTGACAGGTAGTAAATTAAACACGATTACATTTGAAAATAAAAATAATAAATTTAAATGTTAATGCCAACAGAGAAAGCCAGTAAGCAGCAGTATTCCCTCTAAGCTGAGTTAGTGTGAGCTAGCTCACAGTTTTTTAGCCTCCGGCTCACACATTTTTGTCTTCGCTCAGGAAGGATGGTTCCAGAGCAAACTTATTTATGCAGTAGCCAAAGCACTTGCTCACAATTTTAATGCCAATAGGTCACAAAGTAGAATTTCTGCTCACAAGACTCCACAGCTTAGAGGGAGCATTGGTAAGCAGCATATGCAAAAGCAAGATCTATGGACTCTCACACCAAATTTAGTTGCTAAATATTAATGCATTCCTACTTAAAGGACAGCAACATCCTTAACTGACAGCAGAAAACTGCTTTCCCCCACTGCTAGAAGGCCACCCTCCTTTGGCAGTTATTTTCTGCCTTAGCAAGGAACGCAAGTATAGTTGAACTCTGCTTCGTAGTAAAGTGGGGAGATTAGTCTTGATAGAGATTCCCGCCCCACACACAGCAACCATTATAATTTATGGGCTACCAGTGAACTGGAATTTGCCCTCGCACCGAGCAACCCAAAATGCTACTGCAGGAGGGGACACAGAACCTTTAGGAACAACATAAGGCAAAGTGTCCCTCTAAAAAGGCAAAAAATATTTGTATTAAACCCCACATTTTGTAAAAATTGTAATGTCAATCATAGCTTCATTTTCTTTAAAAAGTTGGTAGAATGTAGTTAGACTATGTACCACTATATAATTTCCAATACCTGCCAGTGGGGCTCACCTGCTAAAACCTACCATAAAAAAATACACCATCTGCTGAAAAGCAGGCAAGTATTCAGTCAGGTGAGCTAGCTAGCTATAGTGCAGTCCAAGAACCTAGTACTATGAGTACTAGATCCCATTCTGTATTATGGTAGCATTTGCTATTTTTCCTTTTGCTGGCATAAAATTCAAGTTTTACAAAGGAATGAGACTAAAGGCAAAAGCATTAGTAATGTTCCTAAGCAGAGAAGCTAAATATTCCACATCCATCAAGCATGATGACATTTATCATAACAAAATGTGTAAATATATACACAACTGCCTCTGGGTTCACAGCCTGAGTTACAGACAGATGTCCATGTAGGGTTATGTCCATACTGTGAAATTCTTCTTGTAGATAGTGTCATCTTATTTATGCACTTCCTTCATTTTTAGTCATGTCCGATTGTTTAGCTCACACTAAAGGACTAAACTAAAACTGAAATCTAATTTCCAATCTGAAGCTCTTCAAAGTCTACATTTTTAAAATGTTTAAAAAATTCAAACAGTACAACTTAGCCTTTTTAAAGCAATCTCTTCTGATGTGTCTTTCACAGGAAGTGAGAAAAATTATTTTCTTGCACCAGTGCTATAACCATAGCACAATGTAACAGCTACCTCATATCCATACAGTCATGACATTCAAGGTGTGGGGGCTCATAATGCCCTGTTTGACTGGAAAAACTGGAACTTGTACAGAAGCCATAGAATCAGGATATTCGAAGCTCTTAGTGGAGACTAGCCTGTTTAATAGTCAGAAAATGATGTTACGTTAGTTCCCTGCTATCTTTTTCTTCTTTATTTCTCTGTCTGTCCCCTCCAGGGATGCTGAGGAACCAAAAAACCATTTGTGGCACACAGGAGGCAGGTATTAATTCACAACACATAAACTGTTTTATTTCAATTTTACGGGACAATGTTCATGTCAGACTGTCAGGGAGGTTTCAGTTTTAAACTTGACAGGCGAAAGGGCAACAGGAATGAGGGAAACTTCATATAACTATATACCATAGATAGTTTGCTACAAAAATGTAGCAGTTTTGTTCTACCAAGAGGTTTTTGTAAGAGAGATCACTTGGCTGTCACTCCTTAGATAAACAGGTATAAGCTTATTTGTCACAAAATTACTAAGTCTGTGAAAGTTGTAATACACACACAGTTTCCAGTTTCCCTTAACACTTGATAGGGATGACTCTCTTTTCCTAGGAGCTATTTCCCTCAGGGAAGGACTACTGGTTCCGCTTCCCTATTTCAGGATCCTCTTTGTCCCTCCCCTCCCCTCCTTCCTTCCTAACTGCCACTCAGGTCTAAAATAGCATTCCATTTGAACCCCTTGTCAATCAAGGTTCCCAGACCAGTATAATGCATCAGCAGTTAGCTGTCCATCACAGGTCATTAATGTTGTTAAGCTTTGAAGTTACCGAAAGCATGTGACATTACTGCTGCCTTGAAAGTTACTGGGTGACCTTGGACCAGACACACACATTCACTCTAACCTACTTCACAGGGTAATTGTGAGGATAAAATGGGATGAAGAAGAATCTCATATGCCACGCTGAGCTCCCTTAAGGAAGAGTAGGATTTTTTTTTAAAAAACCATTGAGTAGTTTTAAAAGAAACTTCAGAAACAATGATGTCATACACAGTTAATTCAATTAATATGGTGCTAACTGTGTCACACAATTACTGATCAATTAAACCACATTATTTCCAATGGACTGCAGTGACTGCCCTGCAACTGAATAGGTCTTACAGGACTTGAAACAACAGTGATGAAAATATGAATGAGCTGCTAACTTCAGTGGCCTGAATTTGTTAGTAATTCTTGAAACTTGATAGGGGTTTAACATATACAAGTTTTTTCACAATTGTTACTAAATTTGTAATCACATTGCCAGAGATCAATATGGCAGTTTGTAAAACAGAAGAGACAGTGCTAAGCTAACCATTAAATATTAGTAGAGAGTGTCCAAAAGTATATTTCTTCAGCGAATGAGTATTTTTCAGAAATAAGCCCAATCACATGCATGTTTACTCAGAACACAGTTCCACTGTTATGGGTCATACACCCCATTAAGTGTACATAAGACTGCATTGCTAAGGAGAAGATGTACCTGGGAATAAGGTCTACTGAAATCTAATGGGCCTCACTTTCAAATAAACATGCTCAGGACTGGGCATTTGCTTAAGTATACTTAGGAAAAATGCTTATTAAAAAAGGCTTGGAATACGGTTTCTGGTACGACTGCAGTCCAAGCACATTTCCTAAAAGCCTAAACACATCTTTACTCTGATGTTATACTGAACTTACTGTAAAAAACTGGATCTACAGAACTGCAAGCAGAGCTCTGCTGGTGTCTCCTGCAGTTCCATGTCACCCAGAAGAGCTGTTTCTGAGGAGGATGAACCCCTCAGTAACAGCACAGGCTGCTGCACAAGAGGCTGCAGACCCACCCTTCCACAACTGGAAGGGCACCTCTGAATCCAACTCAATGTGCTTAATGTAGGCTTTAAGTTGTATCTATAACTGAGAAAGAAAAAACAAAGAGATTCTTAAAAATACACACATTTAATGTTGATTTTTTTAAAATTCTAGAAAAGAGTTTCAGGAATACAAACATGTCAACCACCATGATAAAATGAAAACAAAAACATTCACAAATCTGTTGATAGTTTAGTCTGTCAAGCATTTTCCTCAAGTAGTTTCTAATCACTGTCTTTGTATGGAAGCCCTCCTATAAATACTGCTGGTGTTCAATGTGAATTACAAGGATTGTAAAAAAGATTAATGATGAAAACTGGTTGTGTGAGTAACATTACAAGACAACCATAGTTTGCATTATCCAAAAAGACAAAACATTCAAAAACTAACCTGTGTATTATCAAAATATTGTAGCTTTAGGCAAGGCAACTATAACTTAATAGCTGAGACTGTGTGAGAGATAAAAAGAGACCCACATTTTTTGTGAAGGCAAAACAGAAGTACATTTTCAGTTTACCACTTCTGTAAAGTTTGTACGTTTTCTGGCCAGCCACAAGCACAGGACAAGAAACGTGTCTATGTTTCCTTTGGCTATATCAAAGGTGACAGAGGATTCTTCTTGATCAAAACACAGTATTGTTTAAAAAGTCAAAGTAAGTAGCAGAATAAGCTTTAACCATACAGCACCTTTTTAATTGTTTTGTTGGCAAATTCATGTCTGTTACCAAAATATTAGGCAGTAAAATGAGAAACCAAAGTAAAATAGTTGTGATTACTCTTTGGCAAAAAAAAGATACAACAAAAACTCAAAACAAAAAAATTATCTAACCTCAAAGAGACCTGTTACTTTGCAAGTAAAACAGAGTTATAAATTTAAAACTTGATTCATATTTATAAGAACAGAAGAGGTAATATTGTAATAAAAGCAGTATTGTTACTTCAAGTGGCAACATACTGTTTGTTGACCCTGTGCAATTAAACACTTTGTTCCAACTACACTTATCAAACATGAATACAAAACATTACATACAAAGGAATCTTGTGTGACTCCTGACTTTAATTACTGGGAGACAAAATTTACAATCAGTGTGTCACAAAACCTTAGAATTTCATTTAAGCATGTTCAAATTTCCATGTCCCGATTTGTTTCTCAAATGGCTGACTTTTATCCAAAATTAATTGGGGCTGCAGTCCTGTGCAGTTAAGTTGAGAAAGTAAAGGCTATTTACGCCACCTGGCCCAGACCAGAGACAAATAACTAGATATCTTAACCATGTTTACAAACGGGAACAAGCACTTCCTCTCCGTTAATCAAAGGTTGGTGTTGCAGCTGGATCTGAAGTGGATTTGCAGATTCTAGTTAGCAAAAAACACTGAAGAAGATGCTGTGCTACCCCTCCCTCCCATGGTTATCATTGACAGGGGAAAGGAGAGGTAAATCTGCACAGGAGGGGGGGGGGGGGAGGAACGTGCAAGCCTAAAGGGGCATTTCCTATCTGTAATCACAGTTAAGAGACCAGGAAATATGACTGCTCTGGATCCTGGCATGCATGGTTGCACCCTGACTTTACTTCTAAAAAGGCATATGAACTCACTGACTCACTGCCAGAACACACAACACTCATTTGACACATATTCTGTAGTATGTGGCAAGCAACAGCACCCAATAACGCCTGAGAAGAAATGCTGCTGTGTAAATACTGCAACTATTCCTGATAAAAGAATTATGGGATATATAGTCAAAAGCTGCCCAATCCCATAATTGATATTGCATAGGTCACAACCACACATATATACACATGCACACATAGGTGTACATATACACACATGCAAAGAATATATTAAAGAGACCACAAAGTCTAGTCACAGAGCAATTTACAGGCTCAATATATATTTTTTTACACTTTGCTTGAAAGAAGAATTTAATATTTTACAGTCCTCCGTAGGAATTATATACACTGCACCTTATGAAAATCTAGGGTTGTCAATGTAGAAATACACCTTTGCAAACATTTGGGTAAGAAAAGATTAAGAGTCATCCTAAAAATTGTTTCCCTAGCTATAGAAAATATTCCCTAATCGCAAAAAAGGAGTATCCTTAGACTGTACTTTAGACAGTCACTCTGTATTCATGCACATCTTAAAGCAAACTGAAATCCCAGATTCCCATCCAAAGTCAATCTAAATCTTTACTTTAAAAATGTAATAACCCAATCTTATTTTTTTTAATGTATCCTTATCACAATGTTTGTACTGTTAATAAGCAAGAGTTAAGGCTAACTTGGTTTCCATTTTTAGAAACATCGTAAAGTTTCCTTCTGCACGCCTGATTTACAACTGTGCATTATAAATAGTGAACAGCAGTACAGTGAACATAATGTTCTGTCCTACAGTCAGGAGGCAGTTGCTCCTTCCCATTCCACAAGATACTGCACCTTTCCATCAAGCGTCACCCGGCGAGCCAAAACACGGTATTTTTCACCACAAGCTATCCTACCTGCCGCACCAAAGTAACTGGTAATAGAGTTCTTGAGATGGTTAAGCTGTAACTCCTGATCTGCTAAGTTATTCAGAATCTCTGTGTTGAGTTCGTCATACTGATAATCATCTTTGCCTTCGTCGTCTTTTACAATTTCAGAATTCTGAGCTTGGAGTGCTTTCCGTGGAAGGCGACCTCTCCTCCTTAAGTGTGGTATTGCAGCCGGCCAAGTTCTTCCTGTACGTGTCCTTTTCCTGGAGTCAGATAAGCTAGTACAGAATACAGAAAATGGACATTTACACTTAGCAAGCTAATTTAATAGTATGTGGCCTTAGTCAGGGTCAGGACATTATACTAACACTGCAGAACATGCATGTGCTGTTAAAACCACGACTACCTAATGTGGCATAGCAGCAAAAAGCAGCTCAGTGGCACTGAACTGAATGGAGACCATCTCAGTGAGGCATATTTAGGTGACAGTTTACATACACACAAATGTAAAAGTTTTAGCAAGATCACCAGCATCACTGCAAGCCACACACCAACGTATATCTAAAGCTTTGGCTGCCCATTATGTTACGCTTTTGCTACTGAATGCACCACTAATGCTTGATAATCTCAGTGGCAAAATTCATAGGTGCAATAATCAAATATAAAAGAAATAAGACTGAGTAAGGTTTTTTAAAATATTTTCTTTGGCTCTAATTTCTGGTTAAGGTGATAGCCGTATGAGCAGTACTAGATAGACAGACAGACAATAGATAGATGATAGATAGATAATGCTTGATAAACAAAAGTAACCAACTAATTTTAAGACTATGCAAACAGACACAGAGTCTCTTGATTGTAGAAAACACAAACACAATCCAACCTTACTTGGTACAGTCACTATTAAGGAAATACTTAACATGAATTGTATTTGCTTGCATACTGGCAGGGCCCCACACACTGCTGACTTATCTAGGGGTTCCTTATTAGTATGGGCTAATAGGACACCCAGTGTCAGATATGCCTCTAATGCAACAGTTGCCACATGTAGCTCTCCTATACTATCAGAGAAAGTTAAGAGGGTGTCCTCAGACTGCATTGGTGTGGAGATAAACCTGCTCCCTATCACTGAGAATCAAGCCTGGTCTTACAAGCACAGATGGGGCTCAGTTTCTTGACCATGCTAGAGAACAACAGAATTCCAAAAACAAACAGAAAATGTGTAACTGGAAGCTTAATCTAATCAATGACTTTTGCTTCATGCTTTATACTGGAACACAGAAATCGCTCTCGCCCAACTTAGTTCTGCATTTCTGCTTAACTGTCAAAGTATGAGCATAAATACTATCTTAGCAATACAAAAGCCAGTATAAACATTTAAAAGGTGAAATGTATACTCCAGACGGAAGTCACTTTAGATAATTTGTTCTAATGTTAGAATTAAGTACTTTTTTATAGTCCCAAACTACATCCTTTATTCTTGAAACTTGGTCCCAAAAACTTGCTTCCAACCATGTAGGCATGCATGCTTTATTGTACTGAGAATTATGGAGTTTAACAACAATGGAGAAGGTAGCCTAAGAGTAAGCATAAAGGTCAAAGGACCAAAGGATTACTTAGGTGACCATTTAATAATATTCCTCAATATCAAAGTGCTTTTATTTATTTTACATTACTTCACTTATATCCCACCTTTCTCCACAGCGGGGAGCCAAAGTGACTTACATAGTTTTCATCTCCTCCATTTTTTCATCACAACAGTCCTCTGAGGTAGGGTAGCCCGAGTGTGTGTGACTGGCCCAAGTCCACACAGAAAGGTTCCATGGCAGAGTGGGGACTCAAATGCATGCCTCCCAGATTCTAGTCAGACACTCTGATCATTATACCACACTGGCCCTCTCTTACATGAACAAAAGGCACTTCTCCTTGCATAAGGAGCTGGTCTGGAGCTCCCATGGGCTCCCTTCTCAGTCTGCGGTCTCCTGAGCCCTGCTTCATTCCTGAGGGTCTCCAAGCCTTCAGGACCACCAGCTAGTGAGAGGGAGAGGTATCAAAGAGCCATTCTATGAGCAAAGCTCTGCTCCCACTTTGTGGAATCCAGCCCAAATTTTAGTCCCCTTTGAAATACAAGTTGCAACCAATTATATTCATAATCAATCATAAATTGCGTATTGATCAAGTTCTATTGGCCTTACCTGTAATGTTTAGGAATACAGGTTGAGGTAGTTTCTTTTGCACTGACAGTACCTGTAGATTCTACATCTGAGGTATTTGAAGAATGTGCTGTTCCATCAGATCTTCTGAGCCATTTCATGTCGCCATGTAACCAAAAAAATCAAACATTAAAATCTTATTTGACATTAGCCCATTTATAATGAAGCACATTTATTATTCCCCTACTTACCCAATAGTGCTAGGTAAATCCAAAGTAGGGGATTCTTGCACTATGACAGGTTCCTTTCCCAAAAAGAACAAAGAACATGACTTTACATTTCCAATGAAAGCTTTAATTCTGAAATCAGTTTTCTGTTTGAAAGTACCATGTAACATAATGGCCACTATTTTGTCAAGGAAATGATGAGCAATAAATTAACACCACTTACCAAAAGTGATGGCTCAGACATTTTTTGAATCATTTTCCTGGTATATGGACCAGGTGGACGACCAACAGACTTTTTCTTTCCCTTTTTTTCTATACCATTAGTAACTTCCCTAGGAGAAAGCCAAAAGGTTAACATTTAAAACAGATACACTACAAAGAGAAATCATATTGTAGCTATACTTTCTTTTCACCCTAATAAACTAGCCAAGTTTACTCTTCAGAATGCATATACACAGAGCATTTAAATACAGATTTCTTCCCATAGCGATAAAAGCCACTCAGTGCTTTCTGTCTTTTTGTCACACTGTAGCATGCCCTATTTAAAAAGCCACTATAGAAACCGCGCCTGTGAATGGAACAAATAGACACATAGCTCCTGAACATCCCCACCTTACCCACCAACACTGTTCCTATTGGTCTCAGTAAAGAAGTTCTTCCCTTTGTTATCTTGACTATGTAGTACTGGCAGCTCTGAGACACTGAGCAGGAACTTAGGAGAAGGAAATGAAATGCAGGCTCGGTAGGAGATACTAACTAGATTTCGGCTACATCATAGCAAACCATTTAGCCATGAACAGGGAAATGGAAAAAGTGGTTGCAATTGCTGGATTGCAATAAAATGTGTATTTAGGGATGGGCAAGAACCAGCTCACGAACTAAGGTTCGTGATGAATTTTGTGTGGTTTGTAGTTTGCAAATTGAAGTTTGTGGCAGGTCAACTAGCAGAAATTTTCCATGAACTTTCAAGAGGTTGGTAAATAGATACATTTATAGACAGTCTTTGCTCAATCAAAATGTTTACCAAACTTCAAAGCAATGGGGGGGGGGGTCTCTCCAGCCTTGGAAACACCAATAGGGACCCCTCCAAAGCTTCAGCCATCGCTGGCTGCCAGTAACAGAGTTCCCATGCTGATCTATATATACCCTCAAGCTCAGCTTCACACCGTCCTCTGTTGGGTGTAGGCAGTTAGACAGAGAGGCAGGAAACTTGTTAACAGCAGAGCACATTCATTTATTGCTGATTATGAACACCTCTACCCTGATAGGGTTTGAGTGTTAGGTGGACTCAGAGCTCTGAGCCATCCTATCTCTCTGCTTATGCTGAGCAGCTTAGCTACTGGGTGCCTTGGCTGAAGACCCACATTTATAGCCTCCCAGCCCTCCTGATTGTGAACTTCTCTGTGTGTCATGAATATGAAAGTGGATGCAAAGGGCGCTCATCATGGGGGGAAGAACTCCTCCACCCCTGCATACCACAGGCCCTCATACCCAGGCACGAAACCCATCCTGCCAAGGCCACTGGCCCTGGCAGGGCATCACCAGTGGTCTCAGAGCCTCCTTCCCCTGATCTGTTCCTGGAGCTCTCCATAGAGACAAAAGAGTGGTTAGCACTGCCCAGACACCAGTAGTTTGGAGAGGGGGACTGACAGCAGTGATTCAGAGGGTGGGTGTGGGAAGCATCTTCCCCTACCACATCACAACTCCCTGTTGCTGCTCATACCTTGAGTACACTCCTCCGTGGCCCCTCCCAGCTCAGCATCGGAGAACAGGTGTGCCTCCCACCTTCTCCAATCCTGGGGCCCCATTTCCAGCCCACAGTTTGGAAATACTTCTGCACCCTTCCCAGTGAACCCTCTGTGGCAGAGTGCCAGGTATGCCACACCCATGTCCAGAGAGGCACAAAATTCCCAACACTTCTTCTCCTCCATCCTCTGCAGGCACCTGCAAAGGGTGCACCCAACTATGTTGCCATCAGAGAAAAGAGTGGTGGCCCTTGGGAGGAAGAAGAGACCCACTCCCTCTCAGCAGGGAGAAGTGGAGGGGGAGCAGGAGGCCCCTCCAATAAAGACTACCCACACTCGGAATGCCGTGGATGAGACATCAAGGCAGGCCACCCTTCAAGAGGTCATTCCCCCGGGGACACTGACAGTGCCAACCAAAAGGGTGGCATGGAGGGCCCAGGAACTCACTTCGTCAGCCAGATTACTGCTGTGGATGGCCAACCCTTCTCCCTCGTGGAGGACGTAGCCTTTCACCAGCTGCTGCAACACCTGGCTCCCTGGTACTCCATCACCTTGTGAAGGACCATGAGCTGAGGAGTCTTGCCTGCCAGAAAGAGGAGCTGTAGCCCAGCACGTCTGCCTCAAAGAGCCCAACCAGGAAAGACTCCCACTACTGGTTATCAATGGAGAACTGGGAGGTCAGCAGCAGTAGGGATACCAGGTGTGCAATGGCGGAGGACTTGGCAGAGGTGATGGTGAGGGAGTACTTTGCTGAATTCCCTGAGCCCACTAACGCCGATCCCCTGGAGTACTGGTCACACAAGGCTGTCATCTGGCCCAACCTCTATTGCGTGACTATGAGTCTCCTCTCCTGTCCTCCCACCAGTGTCCAGAGTGAGCGGGTGTTCTCCCACCTGGGAGACATTCTCAGCCCCCACTGCTCCCACCTGGACCCAGCCAGGATGGACGAGTTGGCCTTCCTCAAAGTCAACCTCCCCCTGCTACCCCCTCTCTGGACCTCACAAAGTAAGATCTAGGCCTACTGTTCTCCCCCTGCATGTCACCCATCTCTTCTCCTCTCGAGTGATCCAGCATGCACCCTTGGTGCTTAGGAGGGAGAATGGCCATGTGACGTCCTCCTTATTGGGGAGGACTGGTTTCCCTTTAAAAGTTCTCTTTATTTAGTTTAACAGGGTTGAATCTGCTGCCACCAGGAAATTTTAAGGATTTCCAAACCTTTATGCTTTTACTTTTGCTTACTGGTTTGGTAGACCGAGTTCAAGGCTCACGAGGAACTATGTGGTCCTGGGAAGTATGTCATTCAGAGCTGGTGTAAACTTTGATAAAAGAGGATTTATTGAAACAAATACTAAATAAGAGGATGGTACAATGTAACTGGTAATGTGTAAATGATGAACAATTGCTTTGGTATCACACACAATCTTCTCCCTCACTGACAGGGATCTTTTCATGTAGCTTTGTAACACTTGTTTATCTCAATGCTATATGTGTTCACTGTTTCTCTCCCGTTTGTTATGACCCTCAGACTTTCCTTTAACTGTTGGTCACTTAAACTTTACTGTTTCCTGTACATTCAACTTTCAGCTTTCTCTGTCTCACTGAACAACCCCAGCTGTCAGTTTATAACTGCTTCAACACAGAACTGCTTGTCTAACTCTAACTGAACATCAACTGTCAACTTGTAACTGTCACTCTTGACTGACTCACATACTCATCCACTCAGATTCACTTCCAAAACCCCTCCCCCTCTCTGTCAACCACCAATCATACCACACTTGCCTCTCTCAATCACTCTAGTCTATCCACCACAGCCATGCAACCAAACTTTTAAAGAGACACACACACACACAAAACAAGGAATCATTACAGGCCACCTTTGCCAGGTGGGGGGGGGGTGGCCCTACACCCAACCCTTTCTCACTGAAATTCCCCCATGGAGAAAACTGCTGGATACCCGTCAAAGAAAATCTCTCTCACCCAACACTTACTCCATAAAACATCATCAACCATATAACACAACATTTTTTAATTTTTATTTTATCTTTAGATTTATATCCCGCCCTCCTCCTCAGGGTCTGCCAATGAAAAACTTAGCCTCAATTCAACCCCCTTGGAATTGCCGTTTATATTATTCTTAAAGACCAGGCTTCTTATCAATTCATCTACAATAAATTTATCCACAACCCTTTTGTTGCACTAGTTTTTTCTTCCCAGAACAGCTGGAATATCAATGGATGTTTGGCAACTTTGGCAGCTACCCCCCATATCAAAATTGAAGGTCTCACCACCACAAGGGCAATACAGATATTTTCCATACTAACTCTAAAGTATGATACAAAAAGATGGTAACTATAAAATGCTACTCCATCTGGGATCTAATTAACAGTAAAGTTCTAGAAGCCTTAATAATCTTTAACTCAGTCCTGTTCTAAAGATCAGAGCAGACAACACATTACAATGAAATACAAGTCACATCCCACTAAAATCAGTAGCAACATTTTTGCTATTAACATTTCCTCAACTAATACATGTCCAACATAGACCAAGAGTTTAAAAAATAAATCAAGAGGCATCTGTGGAACAGAAAGTGTCATAATATTCATCTGCCTATTTGTCTTACCTCTGATCAGGCACAGGTTTAGATGATTTTCTGCCTTTAATTTTGAATTCATGCGAAGTTCCCTCAGGTTCTTTCTCAGCCTTGAAAGCAGCATTTGGTGGGCAAGGAGGAACACGAATTCTCAAGCCAAACAAATGTTTTTTCTTCTTTATCTCCTTTCCAGACATAAACCTGAATAATTGTTAATTGTGGAACATGGAGAAAGGAGTATTTCTTCAGACTTACCAAAAACCAGTTCATCCAATAGCATTTTATGTTTCTACTTTAATCTTAAATTCCAAGGTTGTGAAAATGATAGCAATTAACTGTGCATTTAGTTCTCTAAAATCCTCTTAGCAATTACAGGTTCGGTCCCCAGAGAGATTCAACAATTCTGTAATATTTTTTCCACTGCTACCTTTAGTTGCCATCATTGGTACAGAACCTTTCCTTTATTAACAAACAAGCTCCATTGACCTGTTGTCTTGCGCCAAGCAATACAACACGTTTAAAACATGGATCACAACAGAAACATTTACAAATAATAAATAAAAGCATTACATCACTAATATAATAGCATTAAAAGATATTAAACTCTCCAATTTGTCACATTAAGATGTAGCAAAGGAACATCTTACAGATACCATAAAAGACAAAAATTTGGCCACAGCTCACATCACCTCAGGGTTAACATCAGCCAACAGAAAAGACACCGCCTGGGGTTCAATGGCAAGATTATATTTTCTCAGAATGGGCAAGATCCCAAGTTCTCGTAATGAGGACCACTGATTTCAGGATAACAAAACATGGTCACTGGTTTCGATCATACTGGAGGCAGAAAGACAAAGGCGATCACAGAATGGGATGTTTACATATAACCCCTCAATTCAGCTGAGGACAAAGCATCCAGCCTGCCGAGCATAAAGAAGTGGCAGTTGGGGGAATGCTAAGAGTTGCAGGGGGAGGGATTCCAAGAGCTAAGGTGGAGAATACTGAATGTGCTTGAAACTGAATGCTGGTTCTGTCGAGTGTAATTGCCCTAATTTTGATCTCTCTCAATGCCTCATGGACACCCTTATCTTGGATCACAGTAAAGAGGAGACCTAGGCACTCGAGTTGGCTATCCACCAAATTACCCCAGGCACTTTAGTAAGTGTCTTCCCTCAGAAGATGTAAAAGACTTCTATAGGAGTTTGATGCTGGAAAAAGGGACTTCAGTCTCAGTTTAAAGGCACAAAGCCAAGCCCTACATTCCATTGAGTGTTGGGCAAACTTCACTCTTAATGCAGTTTGTGCACCACAGGATGGTACCCCAGCAGTTCAACCGACGTATAGTAAGAGTGGATAATCATTGGAGTCAGATAGTAGCATTTATATTAAGAGTAAATAAAATGAAAGTATTTAAAATGCATAAAACCTGTACAAACTTACATGGTCTTGTAATCATTTAATGCCTCCAAGACATGTTCATATCGTTCAGATTTTGGTGTGTCTGCCAGCTGTAAATAGTAAAAAGTAGTTTCGTTATATTCTAAAATCCTGACTATATAGGACAAAACTACCCAGCAAGCTAATCAACTTTCACAAAAATCAACTGTCACAAAAGGAATAAAAATTTATTTGATATAATGTCCTGCATAGAGATGTGAAGGCCCGGAAAAAACCCAGAAAAATTCGGGGGGAAAACGGTTTTTTCCCGTTTTTTTCCTGAAGCCTTTTTGTTTTTTTTCCAAAAAATTGGAAAAATTGAAAAAAGAAAAAAAAAATTGATTGTGGAACATTTTATTTTAACATGATGAATAAAATATTTTAAGACAAGGTGTTCAAATATTTTCCAAATCATTTCTAAAATATATATATATGGTATCAGATTGATCTAATTTCTGTGCACTGAGGACAAGTAAGTCCTAGGTTACAAACTGAACTCTCCAATGCAAGAACAAGATGCATTTCTTCCTTTAGGAGGTGCGATTATCAGAAGAAAATAAAAAAGTTTCAGTTTTGTTTTTGCATATGGGTGGGTATTCTGTTTGTAATAATTGTTTGGATACACTATATTTTAATATGCTAGTTGTGATAATTTCATGCCAAGTAAAAATGTCCATAGTCATATTTTATGTTCCTAAAGTAACAGAATGACTTTCAATCTAGAAAAGACAAAAGAAATGCTAATGTAGCATTTTTTTCAATTTTTCCAAAAATTACCGTTTTTTCCGAAAAAAATCGAAAAAAACCCGGGTTTTTTTTCCGCGCTTCAAAATTTTCGGAAATTTTACATCTCTAGTTCTGCAGGAATTCTAGAACACATCTCCATTCTAAACTTTTTTGAACTATTAAGGCTGCGGTCACACGGAACATTAGCCACGCTACAGAGACGGAAGATAGGTGGATTTTCCGGGCACGATCACAGTGCCACATCTGGGAAGCGTAGAGCTCCCGTGCTGAACCCGAG